AATTGCTTCCCATAGGTCTGCTTTGCTGTTATATTGTTTACCACATTCATACAATTTCATCTTCTCAATTGACCATAGATTTTCAATCGGATTCACATCAGGACTTGATCATGGCCATTCCATTAAGAATTCATAGGTAAGCTTAGATACATGAGAAGGAGCATTGTCATGCATAAATACACACTTCACTTTGAAACTGCAAGACTGGGACTTGTACCATGCAAAGAAAGTCTTGTTCATAAAAATCGCAGTAGTTAACATTGTTCAGTTTAACTCCTTCATCGACTTTGAATGGTCCAATAATGGTTTGGTCAACAATTCCAGCCCATCTCATAACACTACCACCTCCTTGTTGCCTTCTTTTAGCCACAGGCACATCTGAATTGGATAAAATCCATCCTTTGGCTCATCCATCAAATGTCATGAGATTTGTCTGAAAATTATTTTTTCAAAGTCAATTTTCATATTATTTCTTGGTCCAATTTTGATGCTTTAAAATATTTGCTTTAGTGAAATTTTTTTTTACAGACCCCAATTCACAAAGTATTCTACACCTTTTGTCTTTCTTGACTCCCTCAATTCTAGCCTTTTCAAAGATCTGAGCACTGGTCAAAAGTGATTGTTTTGCTATCACTTATTTTAGTTTACGGTCATCTCGAGGAAAAAGTTCTTAAAGCCTTTTCCTTTGCTTCAAGTTCTCAACTTACTGATATTTTCAACAGCCTTATCATTCGATAATCTCTGCAAAGCATTTTTGATCTCCAATGTGGACATTCCCTCACTCAACTTTATTATTTTGGTTTATGTTTCAACATATATTACGGACAAAAAGAAAAAAAAATATTACATTTCAGGTCTTAAACTAATATTAGTTTAATCTGCATACTAACTTCAGTCAGTCCATTTTCATAAATTTCAAATATCTCAAAAAGTAAGAAACTTAAAAATGGCAGAAAATTCAAATATTTTACTAAGAGTGGAAATGGATGAATTTAAATTTGACAAATATTGATTCAAAACGTTTTGTTATTGAGGTTTATTTGATTTGCATAACTTCAGATAGATTATATATATGAGTGTCTAAATAACATTGAATAAACTGCATCATCTTTCAAATTTGAATAGGTCTCTGATGAATAGTTATTACAAAGATTTGTATATAGTCAGACATCTGTAACTTAATTGTTCAGGGACAAATGTGTGGTCAGAGGTATGAAATCTCTAGTTTTTGTAATGCTAAGAAATTTACACACTGTACAAATGACATTTATTGATATTTTCTAGAAACTATGTCTGAAATCTCATTTTCTCTATGTAATCCAAACAATTCACTTGCAGCCTGACTTAGAATTTTTCCGTATCTGAGCAACATACCATTTTCACTCAAAGTTGTAGATAATAAGCATCAAAATAATCAGAGACATTTTCTGAATTTTCTCTTTGTAGATCAACTTCGAGAGATTCGGATGATGCATATGAGCCATGTTCTCTTAAACAATGCTGGCATTGAATCTGTTCCAAAGTCTGCATTTTATAAAGGATCCAATCAGTGAGTAGTTATTCTTGTTTTAAAAATTTAAGTCTTCAACTTTTTTTTTAGATTCAACATATGAATAAGTCAGATTTCTTGACTCAAAATGAATTAAGAATGGTTAACATTTTTTTTATTAGAAAAGAGAGAGAAATTTGTTGCTTTAATTCATTAAACTTGTTAATACAAATTTTACTGTGAAAACATCGACTAATCAATGTAGGTATGATTCTTAGAATAAATTGATATAAGCAATATATTGTATGATTTTCACCTTATAATATCCAGTCTTTGTAAAAATAGGGATAACTTATTTTGAAGGCATCAGGTTCTGCAAACAAAGTGCAGTATAATGTTTTATAAATAAATCCAAAGGTTATGGCCACAGAAACATTAGATTAACACAATATCTCATATACCTGAATAAATTATTTTACAAGTTAATACATAACAAAAGCCCTCAATGCCTGTAGGCCTAGGGCTGCTGCCTAGTTGCCTCTACTTCATCAGTGTTGATCTTCTCCACCCACATGGTGTTGCAGTTTTTGATCTGAGGAAGTCTTAGGTGAAGTTGGTCAAAACACATCAACAGCAGCAAGCAAGGTGGATTAGTTACAAGAAGACTTTTAGAACAGACAACCAACTCTTGTTTTATACAAACAGCAACAAAAGGTTACTATTTATCAGATTAACCCTTCCTGATTGCTCGGTGATGGGGGTCTACTCAACGATGGCTAATCTGAGAGTTAGTAGGTGTTGGTCTTATTCACAATATGTTGCAACAGCACCACCTTGAGCTGGTGAAGAAAAGTTAGTTCAATAATTTAAACATAGAAGTTTAGTCTTGGGCCTGTAGATCAAGTTGGTTTCCAGTTCTTTTCTTGTTTCACCAAAAGACTCTTATTCTTGGATTTCTTTGCATTGGCTTCTAGGTACCACCTGTTTACTGTTGAAATAGTTAAATGCAACTACCACTTCGGTTCCAACAGTTTCTTTTCTCATACTTCATGCCTGTGTAACTCCCTCCTGTTCAATTGCCTCCCTGATAAACACAATCTTAAAAAATTTAAATGCAACATCAATTGCCATCTTCTATCTTTCTGAATCCCGTTCATCTTTTGCTCTTTCCTCAATCCTCCCTATACTCCGTATTTTTTTCTTACTTTCACTGCCTGTAATCCACTGCATACTAGTGGGATTCCCACCTTGCTTAGGGGTGAAATGATTAAAAAAAAAAAAAAAGGAGGGTTAGCAACAAACCAAGGGCACCCTCCTGTCATACGAAGGTCCAAATTAACCTCAGTTAATATACTATCAAGGCAAAAAATGTGAATGTGACTAAAAAACAAAAACATTTTTGAATTTTGGTTAACATCTGACCTAGTCTAGAGTCAGCTAGTTTATTTCAACTGTCATTTTTCTTGCGATAAGTGTTGATTAAAAATACTGTTAATTCACAAGTTCAAACCAAGACAATTTCAGATATTAATTTTATTGTAATCAAATGTTTCATTTCTTCAAAAACTTACTAGAGAGAAAAAAAAAAAAAAAAAAAAAAACAAACTCGAGTGTACTTTAGGAATGCTAATAAAATTGTATATAGATTTTATATAGATTCAGTTACTTGTAAAATCCACACTAGCAACAGTTACAAATATGGATTATTTGATATTCTAGAATTTTTAGTCTTTTATTTATTAATTTTGTTAACTTTTCTAGTTTCAATTTAAACATTCAGTTTTTATTATTCTCACCTCCATTTCAGTTAATGATAGAGACCAAAGGTTTGGAATAAATATCTAGATAAGCTAGGGTCAGTTCAATTTTGGGTTATGTTTGCAAAGTGGGAAAGAACATTGTCTTGGTTGTGATGACTCAAAAAAATGTCTTGCTCAAGAACTTATAATAATTCTTTGCATTTACCTTGAACAATCAACTTTGAGAGATCTATAATTTTACTGCCTACAATATGAGGCCAAAACATTTCTCTGTTGTTTTATAAAGTTGGGTTAGTTGTCTATTTCCATGAATAGTGCAACTTCTAGCCTAGCCAGCAGGTTCATCCAATGTAGCTCTCCATATATCACTAAAAATTACTGTTGAGAAAACAGTTTTCAGTTACTTCTTTGCATAACTTAGAAGGTTAGTAGTTTGGTTGTTTTTAGATCTTAGCTTAGTTTTTAGTATTATGCATCTTTGAATATTTTTTCTTTGCTGGTCAATTACCTTTTAATTTTTCTCAAATTCCTTTTGAGACATTTTTACAGCCATTGTTCTTATCGTAGCCATGTTTTTAATTTTGTTTGCGATTTTTGATCAGTTTTTTTCAAAATTTCTAACATTATATTCTCATCAGAATATTTTTTTTTTCATAAGGTTATATCTTTCTTACAAGCCATTGCAATCTTTATACCTTAAATTAAAAAAAATATTGATAATTATAGCCCATAAAATATGATGAAAAACTCTTGAGTTACATAAACCTCACCAAATAAATAAAACAGCTAAGTTGAAAATCACAATATGATAAACTTTATTTAGAATTCTCATTTTTTTTTTTTTACTTGTTAGTGATTCCTTTTCTCCACATTTTGTTTTTAGTGGGAAATAATTATTAAATTTAAATATTAACATATTTGGTAGATGAAGGGAGACTTAAATGCTGGTAAAAATAATCTAACTTGCCATATTTAAAACTCATTTTCTTTAGCTGGTAATTTTTGCAATTCAACACTAACTCTTTGTACATAAGCTGCACATGCCAGCCTATGTATTTTTATGAATGGTAATTATATTACATACCTAAGAAAGTTTATTTCAATATTCGAGAAGATTACATGCAACTTTATCTAAAATATTTCAAGAAAAATATACAAAGAAAATAATTTAGAAGGAATTCAAGAGAAACACTGCCATTCCTGATAAGAATATTGAATACCAAAATTAGACAAGCCATGCTTGGTTATTTACAAACAGTTATGAAATGAGGACTCATGGTTTCATAATAATAAATTATTTCAGTCAAATTCTGATTAAAATATTCATAAAGTGAATATAAAAACATCAAAGCTCCACATCCAATTCAACACCGCAGTAAAATCTTTGAAGAGTCAATTGAGATAAGGGCTTTGGCTCATCTAGTAATGATGTTTGATATAAATGTGATCAAAACAAAACCTTTTCATTTTTTGGTTTCAGTAACCCTTTCATAACTAGTGTGGACCAAATCCAATTGGAGCTGTCACTTTGGAAAGAAGATGATGAGAGTTAAACCAAATAAGGGTAATGTATCAACTCCACCTATTAAAAGAAAGACATTTGACATTAGGGAGACTGGGAAAAAAAAAAAAAAAAAAAAAAGTCAGATTGTGCAGCACATAAAGCAAGCATTTTAACAGAGGCTGAGGTTTATTGCTGTAAGCTGAGAATTTAAAGGGAAGACATTTGACAACAGAAGAAATAGCAAATGCTACGTGAATTTGTCTACTTTGATGGTCAGACCAACTTCTGGACGTGTTTTGCGGCCCTCATTCACAGGGGACTTGTCTTTGGTTTCAGATTGCACATTGGATGGGTCTGACTGTGATCTGAAATAAAAAATATCATCTTTCCTTTATTAAAGTCCAAACAACAAAGGTTCTAATTATGAAATTGCTGTTATTTATTTTTTTTTTAGAGTATTTTCTCCCAATAAATATAAAATTATTTTAAATGTCAACAGTTTAAATATTTCAACATCTACTAAATTCAAATATCTTTAAGTTAGTCAAAGTTTCTTGACTAACAAGTTCATTCACTTTTTAAAAGTAAATAAATATTATAAATTATTTTTATTTTAATAAAGAAGCAAAAAACAAAAATTATTTCAGGAAATTAATGATCAATTTTGTTGGTTAAATCTGCATTAAATGCCTATTTGTATTTCCAAAGATACTTACTCCTTAAGTTTGGGTTGAATTGGCTTCAAGAATTCTTTTCTTTTCAGGTCATCGTCTTCTGTAGCAAAATCATTCATGTCATTTGGTTCTTCCAGAATATTCTACAGAAGAAAACAAAATGGCTGACATTATTATTGTTCAATTCAGCAGTTTGACATTTTTCTGTTATGTAAAACATTCTATTGACTGCAATAAAAAAATTATTCTAATAAATTTATTCATCTGTCTTCTAATACTCTATAATAAAGTGTTGGGGAGGAAGAAAAAGAATTCTGAATTGTAAGAGATTGAAGTTCACAGAATCAAGAGATAAGCATTCTAACTCTGTAAAAAGTGACTATTCGTTCTAAAAGACATCAAGTTAGGCAAGTTTTAATATTGATTACTTTGAAGTATTACATAATTATTTTTTTTTTATGTAGTGTTGTTAAAGTTGGTGATGTAAACCTTAATAATTGTATTTCAAAGAACTATCAAAAGATAGTGAAACTATTTCCTCTTGATACCTAATAAATATGCTTGTAAAATCTGACTGTACTAGAAGAAGCATAGAAATGGGACATGAATGAAGTTAATGATAATTAGTCAGTATATTTTATCTTACCTTGGCACCAATTACGTCTCCATCAGAAATAAAAAAGGGAGCAGATTGGATATTAGGTTTTTGCTGACTCTTCCGCTTTGAACGAGCTGTTTGTGTTTTCTAAATTTTAAAAAAGCAAATAAAGAGAACTAGAGACAAGTTTAGCAAGTATTAATTCAATTAATTTTTTAATTAAATTTTCTTATATAAAAGGCACTGCAAACAAATATTTGACTTCCAGTGGAGGGATAACAGATTGTTTCATGCCTTTTAATACAACCATTATCATTTACTCCAAATCTTTTTGAAATCATACAATTTTTAACAAGCATTTTCACTTCTTTTGTTGACCAATATTTGAAAGGATGTGTAAGTTTAGGAAGATTAAAATTCACAAAGATGGCACAAGCATTGCACCATTATATTGCAATTTAGTTAAAAAAATATCTCAGCCATAACAGTTTTTGAGTCTTTACTAGTTGGAGAGCAGAAGAAGAAGGAAAAAAAAAAAAAGAGAGAGAGAGAGAGAAAAGCATGGATTAGTGCAGACCTTGTTATTTTGAAGAGGTTGCTCATTCAAGATGAGCCATTCACATCGAGAGGGAAAGTGCTTGGCCAACATCATATTCTCCACAGGGATGATTAGTTGACTTGACACTGTTTTCTCTAAATCAGAGATTGATGTCCCCTGTGAAGTGTCCCAGATAACTTCTACAGGTTCTTTGTATTCACGCTTGTCACACACACGCTGTTGTACTGTCAGGATTAGTTCTTCACTCCTTAAAAAACAAGATTTTAAAAAATGTGGACATAAGTAACAAGTGGCTAGGGGAAATTTTGCTGAGAAGTTTTTATTGAATCATTTCAGAAAATACTGAAGAGGCGACAAAAGCTTCCATCAAGAGGCCAGATTATTCAGAATATTGTCGTCTTCTCTGTATTGATAAAGAGCTGAGGTTTGTAATATAGACAGATGCAAAATTCCATAGGATTGAGAAGAATGAGATCAGAATAAAGATCAAAATATGGAAGAAGATGGAATCTTTTCTTGCTTCAACAGCAAACAACATCAAGCAAGGAAAAGTTAAAGTCACATGATCGAAATTATGTAAGAAAATTTAAGATGCAGAAACAAACTTGTAAATAATTTGAACTTGCAAAAATTTTATTTTGTCAACAGATTGAAAAACTAGAATTTTTTTTTTTAAATTGAATTGAGCCTTAAATTGTTCTTGTTTCACTTTGTAATGTTTAAAAAAAAAAAAAAAAAAATTCAAAATTAGTTTCATCATCAGAATAAAAAAAAATAGGAAATCAAAGAACACAAATAAACATTTGACTTTTAGTCATGACCATATTCAAGAAGATTGCAAAAATAATCAATTTAAATTCAAGAATACAGAACAGCTCACCCAAATTTTATATATATAGTAAAAGATTACATTTCAGCACAGAAAATAAAAAACATTACCGTAAATTTTCTTCAGAAGCCAAAATCTGCACTGCAATTTGACAAGAGGTCTTCAGCTTTAATTTTCTGTACAGATAGAAATTCATATTGTTTCAATTTATTTTTTAAACATGCTTTTAAGTTGAAACAAATTTTATTTCATATAATAAAATATTAACTTACAACTTGCATAATTACCGTGTATATTTTTAAATTCAGAGTTTATTGATTGCACAGATGTTGTGCAGTTCAAACATTAAGTGTTTTTGAAAGAGATTCAGATTTTCAGCTGCATTATTTGCAACAAAATCAATGAATAGTTTGAAGAGCTTAAAGCAATGGTGAGTTTTGTGAATGAGTCACTTAAAATGATTATTGCTATTAAACAAATCTTTGAAATTGTGATAAGAGATCCTTCTGCAATTCCTTTCATAAACTTAACCAAACATTTGTTGTAAAATCTCACTTCAAAAATTGGATGCTGTTGTATGAATATAGAGAATGTTTTGTTGAATAAAGTGGTCTCTGAAGATTTTGTTAAGTATTTCTTGAATATTTGTTGATACCGAAATGAATTGGCCTTCTACTCACTGGAGGGAGTTGTTGAGCCCCTTGAGTACAGTAGTGAGTCTTTTGTTCTCCATTAGCCTGAGTCGAAGCAGGTGAATACTTGACACGCCTTGTTCACTAAAATAGGGTAAAGCCAGCACTTGGCTCTTCAGTTCTTCCAAACTGGCTTGTTTGCTGATTTCTATAGTGCCAACATTGAGTGGCTCTTTCTTTGAAACAGATTCAGTGCCATTCCAAAGAGCTGAAACAAATTCATTTTGTCAAATTACAACAGTATATATTATTAATTTTAACAAATTTTTATGAACAGTAAATTGCTTAAAAAGTTAAATTTAAAAAGAATAGATTTTGATATTTTGTAAGAAAGCCAAATTATGAGATAAAATTAAGACTTACTTTGGAACTTACTGGTGATCCAAGACAACATAGTTGTTTCCTCACTGATATAAGTTGGGAACAGCCACACTGAGATATGTACAAACCCCTTTAACAAGAATAAAGACAAATTATAGTTGCCAATAGAAAGATAACTACCATAATATCCATTTCAGAAACTTAAGTAAAAGACATCTTTTCATTTGTTTAACACTATTCAAACCATTTAAATTATTAGCTAGAGACAAGGCAATTCGTAAAAAATTCCATCATCAGGTTAGAAAACAAATTACTCTTAATTTAAAGGTATAAAAATGTATTTAATGATGTTGATGTATGTAAAATAAATCTGGTTTTAAGCTTCAATGAATAAAAAGATTTTATGATATAACTTTCTAGAAAATAGTGTTAAATTGTGTTAAAAATATTTGAATCTATTTTAGTAGCACAGAAGAAAATATTTTACATTTTAATATATTTTACAGATTAAGCCAGCGATTCTCACTACTGCACTCTGAAAGGTAGCCAGGTGTGCACCAAGTTAATAGAAGAGTAATTTATGAATTATTCTACTAAATATATATATATATATATATATATATGTAAAAAAAAAAAAAAAAAATCATCTTTATTTTTAAAAAGCTAGACACCAAGCCCATGGCTGTCATATCTAAGTCAAATCTTTATCATTTGATATTTTTAAACTGGGTGCTAAATCCCATAAAAAGAAAGAAAGAAAGAAAGAAAAAAAAAAAAAAAAAGAAAAAAAAAAAGATTCTTGATAAATCTCTTTAAATGAAAAGTGTACTGCTAAGCTTTTTTAGGAATGCTAAACCAAAAATTCATATTTTCAAATTTCATCACTATTTTTTCCTTATTAAAATTTAAAATGCGCCCTAGAATATTAGTTATTCTACAAATGTGTCCTGAGGTAAAAATGATTGAGAAACACTGGATTAAGCCATCAAATGAAATTTACTCTCATTTGATTGTTTAATCTATTTAGAGGAAAGTGCTTGTCAATCAAAATACTTGTCTAATCCTTTAGCATTCAACATGCCCAAACCAGATCTGTAAATATCTCAAAGCGTTATTTGCTATGATGTTATATATCATGACAGAATATACTTGGGGTGTGTTATGGTGAGTTGAACATTGAGAGCCGATATTTACAGGGTAGGTTGAATGCTGAAGGATTAAATATAAATAATTTCAAGAGACAAATATTCTCTTGTGAAGTGCAAGAGGCACTTACAAGTATTAAATAAAATACAATCTACCAAATAACAGAGGAGGTGGATTAAAAAAGGAAAATCAATTTGTAGCAGAAAAAGAATTCTGAAGAGAGGTCTCAGATACAGACCTTTGGTGGTAACTTGCCATCTTCACATAGCAACTTGTCACCATGACTGACTTGGCAATCCTCTAATGTTGCCGACAACTGATCCAAAAGGTCATCAGGAAGATCACACCAAGTTGTCTTCCGTAAATGCCAACCATCTTCTGTCGACAGAGAAAACAACAAAAACCATCTTCATTTAATAATTGAGTCTATTTAAATGTATAGTGATAGAAAAATAAAAAGTTCACCATTTCAAAAATAAAATAAAATAAATAGAAAACTAAAAGTTGGCAAACCATTTTTGGTTTGCCATATAGAAATAAAAAGAAAAAAGAAAAAAAAAGAAATAAACAAATAAGCCAAAAGGTCATCATTCGTAAATGTAGGTAAAGTAAAAGGTATTGTGAAATGAGTCATCTGTGAACCAATCAGAAAGCAGGAGACAATTTTGAAATGAATTCCTTTGTCTCAGAAAAGGGTATCAATAGAGACAACCAGGCAAACGTACCAGTGGGTCGATGAAATACTTTTGTCTGTTTTTATCATGCTCTACATTATCAGACACCCAAAAATCCCATAGAGAGTCAAAAGGATTACAACTATCAATGACATACATACACATTTATGAGGACCCTCTTCTCTTTTATGCTAAAGGACTTAGATGTTGAAATAATTTGGTCCATTCTCCCAAAACTTACATTATCAAGACACCTTAAATCCCACAGACAGTCAAAAGGATTACTACTGTCAACGACATACATACATACACATTTACAAGGACATTCTCTTTTATCCTAAACAATTTAGATGTTCAACTTTCTGGTATGAAGTCTTTGAATATTATATATATTATTTTAAGAGAGAAAATTTTATCAGTACATACAAAATGTATCTTTGTATTCATTTTTAATAAGCTAAAAATTGGTGTATATTGGGGTTAAGGATGTTATCTGAAAATAACCACCTGTAAACTCCCACATAATCCGACAAATGTAAGGAATACATTAAATATTAAGATTTTGAAGAAACTCTTCTTTTCAAAATTTTAGAGGAAGGAAATAAATATATATATATATTGCAAAACAGAAGCCATTCCCAATTTCTCCTAATTATTCTAAGAATATAGTCAAATAATTTAAGGAATAATTAAAGAGTTATTTATTAACCAATACTGGCCATAGATAATGATGTTCCCTAAAAAGATATATTTGTTTTCTGCTTTTAAGTAGACTTAACATGAAGATCTTTTAAAGTAAAAAATTCTAAATACCAATTTTAAAATTGTCCCTGAATATTAAACTAAATAACACAAAGAAATGCTAAATGTAGAGAATTCATAAACAAATACAAAATGCTTAGCGAAAAAGATTTAATACAACAGATGCTCCAAAAGTAATGCATCTCACTTAAAACTGTTGTATAGAATGTAGTTTATGACAAACATTGCTGTCTCCACTGCCTATGGTCACATCCACTGTTTGGTCACCAGAGATGTACAGAATGTGTTGATGTCAATAGGGGCAATTTTTTTTCTGCATGAAGGAATTCAATGAAACACCAGTGGTTTGTATGCACTTTCATGTCAGGTGCTGTTTTGCTAGACTGCCACTCAGCTGTAACAAGGTAACAAAACATCATGGGAGAGAGAGGTTCAGTCACTAATGCTATACTGGCAATGTCTTTCTGATATTGTAGCCCAACAGAATAAACATAGGGAGTATTACTTTATACAATTAACTTGCTGCAACAATATCATTGATATGGGCAGCTTTTCCTTCCACTTTGACACATTGTCACTACAAATTGGTGACCATTGGCAGATTTGTAATAAACTGTCCCATGATGACTGTTCAAACTTATATTGGAGGTAACAACAAGTAAATAGCATTTAAAACTTCAGGAAACATTCGCATGTACACACACACACATATAAAGTTTTTATTTTAATCAGTTTCAACCCATGCAATACATTAAAACCACTAAGAGACAAGGGGTTACTAGGTGTGGAAGAGTTAGGGACAGACACATTAATAATGAGTGGGAAGAGAAAAGAGTAATCAGGAGGACAGTAGATAGCAATTGACATTGCATTTAAATTTTTGCAGATTAAAGTTGGCTGGAAAGCATGGAGTTAGAAAGGAGTTCCACAAGCAAGAAGTGTGAGAAAAGCATTAGCATAGAACTTGTGGTAAATTGATGAGATCTTGATGCCAGTCTAGTACTATGTTTAAATTCAAAAAAGTCTAGGTATCATAGTGAAAAGCTCATCCGAACAATTACCATGAAAGTATTTATAAAAAAAGGCACTGAAAGGAAACCTTACAGCGTTGGGAAAGTGACTGAAGTTGAGCCACCAGATCAGGACCAATAATATTGCTGATTCTTCTTTAGATTTTATCAAAGAGCTCAAGGTAAATAACAGAGGCAGCAGACCATATATGGCAGTAATATTCTAGGCATGGGCGAATTGTAGACTTATACATATGTAAAATATATTCTGGAGAGAAAAATTGTCTTGCATGACCCAATGAACCAACTTTCTTAGCAGCTGACTTAGCAATGGATTTAATATAGTCTTCTCACATCATATCAGCTGAGAATGTTAGACCAAGAAAGTGCAAGGAGTCACTTAATGGAAGGCCGAGAGGGGTCTCTCATATGATTAATACAGAAATTTAGTTTTAGAGGCATTAAAATTAACAAGCCATCTTTTGCCTCAAAGTGTGTGTGTATGTGAATGAAAAAAAATAATTTCGTTACGGAAGACCCAAGTGTTTTCTTTTTCTTCTGAAATCTTCAAACTGAATATTTACATGAAAATAAATTTGAATGAAGAAACAAATTTAACATTAATGAATCCAATTGGATTATTTTAGAACAATTAAGATGTTTAACCTCCCCAATTACTTTATTGTGCATTTATTCAATTATTCTAATATATAAAAGTTATGCAAAAGGTAAGTAATGTCTCCTATTTTATTATTTTGGTGCTATAGCAGTGAAGATTGAATTTTTCTACCAATAACACACAGTAATTTTTGTTGTTACAATCTGGCAAAATTGCATCTGACACGAAAGTACATATGGAGCAGAGTTTTCATTGAATTCTCCCATGTGAAAAAATAAATTGTGCCCAGTGTCATTCATTGATTGCTGAACATTTACAGAGTGAATGTAAGCACAGTTAAACAATGGATAATGTGACGTGTATAACAAATCTCTATTCCAGGCAGTCCTGCATATTGACCCATAAAATGAAGAATGTTGCTAAAATGCATAAACAACAATAATAATAAAAAAAAAAAAAAATTAAGCTAAAATCTTACACTACACAACAGTGTTATTGTGCTCCCTTTATTATTGTAGCATTAGTGGAAGTAAAATTGGAGGCACCATTTTTGGAGCATCTCTTCTATTATCAACAACTGATGATAATTTCTTGTGTACAGATAAACTTAAAAACAAAAGCCCACAACACAGTTTAATCATTTTTTTTTTTTTTTTTAGTGTCAAATATTGAGGTTTGGGCTCACTGACCAGGCAAGAAATCATTCCATTGTGATGAGATGTATGCCATGCAGTCTGCAACAGTTGAGCCTTGATTCAGTGTCACCTCCAGGTCTGAAACGGTCAACTTTGGATTGGCAACAAAACTCACAAATACAGTTATCTGAAATATGAAAGCAAATGATTTTGGTGAATCTAAAATGATTTAGAAAGCAAACAAGGCATTGAAAAGGGGCTTGGGAGGGAATGAAGAAAAGAAAAACTGAGGCATACATTTGAATATTATATATAAAAATATATATATATTATATATATATATATATATATATATATATATAAATAAAGGGAGCTGATTGGAAATTGGGAGAAATGTAAAATGGCATTAGTATATAAATGTTACATGCACTTTAATATGTTGTTGCTATATTCATAATAAATTTTGTTGAATGTTGATTTTGATACAGAGGGCCCCGAGAATTTTTTTTGTTTATTATTTTTGTGGTGTAGTATATTGGTGTTGTCAACAAGTATTTTCTTATATATATAATAAAAAAGCTCAAACACTAATATTCCATGGTTATAATTTATTACATCAGAAAATATAACTCCGAGTATAAAAAACAAAATTTTAGTGAGAGTGTATGTGAAAGAGTGGGAAACAAGCATGAAAGTGAAGTGTATGAAAGCTCTAGAGAGAGGTGTAATAAAAGAAAGAAGAACAGGAAAGCCTAAATGTGAAGGTGGGGGTTAAAATTTAACAGAGAGAAGTTTTAAAGAGAAGAGTTAAATAACGGTTTATATGTATATTGACCACTAATATTATAGTTAGAGAGAGAGAGAGAGATAAAATGATCAAATAGCATTTGAGTATATCATCATAAAAATCTTAAGTGAATATCCATTGAAAATCAGTTTTCTAACAATTTGCTATGCCATGGTGTTGAAAATTTATTGCTTCAACCAACTTCCCCAAATATTGTCATTAAAATAATGATTTTAGGAAATAGGTTGGGGTTGATACCTTTTCAGTACCCTCTTGGATGTAAATGTTTTATTTTGTAAATGAACTGTTGTGGACTTTGGTCCAGTTTGTTTAGTCATTAAAATAAATGTATAAAAAATCAAAATAGAAACAATAAGATAATGTTCATTGGGACAAAAAAGAATTCAAATGAATCAGCTTACTTGATTCTGCTGTAATGGCTGTTTGGCTTCTAGATAAAGCAAATGATCAGTACCCAATGTTAAATTATGCACTTTTTCATGTTCCCATACTGAAAAAGAAAATGTCTTTTGCAACAAAAGGAAAAAGATTTTGTCAAATTTCATTAGTCATTTTATTTCTGAAAAAGTATAAAAATTGAAAAAGTAGTGCTCAATTGAACCTTAATAAAAAAAAATAACAAAATATATCAGAACTGTTTAGACCAAATATGATAATGTTGAACATATTTAGACCAAATATGATAATGTTGAATATATTTAGACCAAATATGATAATGTATAGTGAATATACTTAGACCAATATTATCATTTTGAATATTTTAAGTTGTCACATTCAGCCAAAATAAGTATAGTTGGTTATGGCAGTTATTCCAGAGTCTAAGGGGTAGTTTTACACTAGGTACCCTGGTCCTGCCAAGTCAGATTCTGATTGGCCAAACTAGAAGGTACTATGTAATTTGGTTCCAGAGTAGCTGCTGCAGGCTTTTCACCATATAAACACAAAAACTGTGATAGGAGGCATGAGCCTAGATGTTAATTTTGAGATAGAAATCCAGTCCAGAGAATTGGTCAAATTATTGATTTCATCCTTTATTTGGTCCTCCACCACTCTACATAAAAGATTTACTCTTTGTTTCAAATCATAGATTAACAACCTGAGTGGGATTGTGATGAAGAGCAGATGGAGGATGGGATGAGAATAAGTATTGGTCAAAATTAGTAATAATAGTTAAAAAAAATAAATTTGTTACTGATCTATTATTACTATTATTTTGCTCCTGCTTCAACTGATCCATTCTTCAGCCTTTCTCAGGTGTGCAGTTTGTATAGGAAAAAAAAAAAAGAAAAAAAAAAAAAAGGGGTCCCTATCTCATTTTAATATCAAGCACTTAACCTTTTAGGTTTTTAATGTAATGTTTATGATGCATACACTGCATTAGTGTGAGCTTCCATATCTACAATAATGAGATCAACACTGCATCATCATGGATTCTTTTTTTCTTGTTGAGAAATTATTTTTTTTACTCAATGATGAACAAAGTTTCACTAATAAAAAATAATAAATACAATATTTTCAGATTAATATCAGTTTCATTATTACTTCTATTCAAGTGACATGTTTTTTTTTAAATCATTTCACCCCAAGCTTAAGCAATAAAACCACTAAGATGCAAGGGGTTACTGAGTTTGGTGGATATTGCTTAGTGGCATATCAATCTCTATGGGTTATTTAATGCCAAAATCTAAATATTTTGAATACAAGTGTTACTGAGTAAGAGCATACAAGAAAAAGGAAACATTATTAAGGAGAGAGAACAATAAAAGAACAGGAATTAAGAAAACAGAAGATAATCATTGACATTGCATTTAAATTTTTGAAGATCGAAATTCTTGAAAATTTGAGGAAAAGCAAACATAAGCCAATGACAATTCATATAAGAGAATTATTTGATATTCCTGTGTATGGAGCAAAGTGAAATTCTTGAATTTTAAGCTAAGGTAAAAAAAATAAATTTTGTCATGTGATTTTAAATTAATCTTTTTGCTTTTAGAAATATAAACTTCTATAGTGTTTTACAGAGAAAATATCCAATTTAAATCTATTTTCTCTTTGTTCATTTTCCCCAATTCTTGTGATTAAATATAATAATAACTGAAGGTAATTATGAAAGGAGAAAAAAATAAGATGATAAAGATGTCTTGTAAAATAAAATTAGGAAAGTAACAAAACTAAGAGGCTATATAAATACGTACAGGGAAGTTTGTGAGTGGATCCATCTTTTTCAATAGATAGACGTCCTCCCCCTGGAATGTTCTCAAGTCCATATTTTTCAATTGCAATGGCTTTCACCTTTGACACCAACTAACAAAAATAAATTAAAACAGCATAAAGAAAAGAAAATTATTTACTTTGAAAAAATAAAAAAAAATATAAAAAATCTACTTTTATTGTTTTTTAAAGTTCTAAAATTATTTTCACAAATTATTGGCTCAAGCCTCCTTCAGCTTTCCTTTTCAGTTGCATGTCTTCAGAACTCGTTAAAAACTTCAATTGAAAATCATAGCCATGGGAACTTGTCAACCTTTTTACAACAGGAACCAATGTCAACAGTCAATTCTTGAATTCTGTTGGAGTGGAATGTATTTTAAATGATGAAAAAAAAAAGACAAAGACAGAAAGTACTATGCTCCCTACAATTGAAGAAAATGTTGCCTGAAAGACTGTTCCAAAAATATAACAAGACAATAGTCTAAAAACACAGTCTGATGACCCATTACTTTCAATATTATCAAAGGTTTCATTGGTAATAATAATTAGTTTCAGAGAGTAATAGTCAAGTTTTTCTATGTAAAATGATTCCATTGCCAAAATATTTTTCTAGTCATTTTGTTTTACTTCACTGAATAATAAGATAAAATATATATTTATTACTTTAAGGATGTGTAGAAAGTGGAATCATTGAGTTTTGTCCTCATCTGTTGTTGGATTCACTTCCACATTAATAATGCCCAAGAGAAAAGCATAAATGGGTTAAATAGTTGAGTAAACTGGGATCTTTAAAGCTTAGTTAGAAATTAGTATTGATAAAGGATGGATGGATGTTGGATTTAACGGCATGTCAACTCCTATTTGGGTCAATTTATGCCGAAGCCTTATTAATTTATGAATTTAAGTTGGTTTTATTTTGTATAAAAGATGAAAGGTTGTTGGGTTTCATAATTTTCTGTATTTTTTGGGAAAAATGACCGTTTCTGATTGTGTATTTTACTGTTTACATTCATAGATGCATATATATGTCTATAAGCATATATATATATACACTATTTATATTTTATTGAGGTTTTTTATTTCCTTGAGAAAACTGTATATTTTTTCTGTGTCTGTATTTTTGAATATTTCTTTTAAATCTTTTCCATTGAGATATTTCTGTCTTATTCTAGTTATGATTTTGCATTCTGATAGAATATGTCTTATTGTGATTAGGCTTCCCACATTTACATTTTGGTGGATTTGTCTTTTTTAATATGTGAGAATGAGTTAAATATGTGTGTCCTATATGTGTTCTGTTATGACAACTTGTTTTTTTCCAGTATTTCCAAGATCATTTCCCCATTTTCCTTTTTAGGTTTAATTTGAAATAATTTATTTCGGTTTGGTTTTTCCATAGATTTTGCCATTTGTTTCTTATGTATTTATATATTTTAGATTTTAAGTCTGTATATGGAATTTGAAGATTTTCGTCAATTGTCATTTTTAAAGATGATTTAGCAGCATTATCTGCCTTGTCTCCTCCTTGGATGCCAACATGGCTAGGAATCCAGCAGAAGATGATATTTTTGCTTTTTTCCATTGAATGTAGTTTATATAGAAGACTTTGTATTAATGGATTTTCAATCTTTTTCCTGTTAATACCGATAATGAATCTGAGAAAATAATATAGTTTTCTCCTTTGTTTTTTGATATGAAATTTAGTGCTAGTTTTATTAGTAGGCTTCTGCACTGAAAATTGATGCTTCATTTGCAAGCGTTTTTTGATAAATTGCTAGCGCTGCCTGTTTTTTTTTCTTCGTCTTTTGATCCATCTGTGTAAATACTTTCATAGTTTTGATATTTTTCTTTTATTGAGAGAATTTTTCAATGTATGTTGTGGGGTGTGTTTTTGATTTTGATAATTTGTTTAAACTTTAATATTATGTTTGGATTTTTTGATTATCCATGGTGGTATGTTTGTTTGGTTGGTTTTAAGTATTTGATTAGACGGTAAATTATTTTCTTGGATGATTCCTTCCATCCGGAGTCCCAATGTTTTGATTTTATTTGTGTTAAGATTAAATTTCTCTTTGTGATTTGGTGTAATTACACAATCGTGTGTGGGGTTAGAAGGACAGGAAGAGAGTTTTAGATAGTATTGAGTAGCTAGTTTCTCCATTCTTAGTTGTAATGGGGTTCGTTTGCCTCTACAAGACTCTCTATAGGTGAGGTGGGATAGGCCCTAGAGCTATCCGAAGGCCTTCATGATGTATTGTGTTTATTGTTTTTAGATAAGATTTTCTAGTTGATTGGTAGACCATGCTGCCATAGTCCAGTTTGGAGCGGATCAACGTTCTATAAATAAGAAGGGTTTCTTTGCTAGCTCCCCATTCTGTATGGGCTACTGTTGAGTAGTTGGAGAGCTTTAAAACATTTTGTTCTTAGGTAATTGATATGTGGTCTGAAGGTCAGTTTGCTGTCAAAGATCATTCCTAGAAATTTATATTGCTGAAATACTGGTATTTCTTCATTTCCTAGTTTTAGAGTTTAATTTTTCATTTGGCAGAAGTGTACAGATTTTGTCTTCGTTTTTTGATATTTTAAAACCGTTTTCGAGTGTCCATTTGTTTATTTGATGTAAACATTGTTGAAGTTGTCTTTCTGCTGTGTTGAGGTTTCTTGATCTGTAATATATTGTAAAATCATCAACATAAAGGCTACAGTGTATTCCTGATTTGATGTTTTTTATTATGTCATTTATTTTTATTTTGAAAAGTGTAGGGAGAGTACACTTCCCTGTGGTATCCCCCTCTTCTTGCTTTTTGATAATCAGAACGATGTAGTATCTATTTGTACTTGGAAGAGTCTATCTGTTAAAATCCTTTTTAAGTTTGGTAGTCGACCTCTTAATCCTAATTTATGCAGATCTTTCATTATACCATGTTTCCAGGTTTGATCAAATGCTTTTTTCTATATCAAAAAAAAAATATGGCTATTAGATGTTGTTTGTTTAAATTGGCCTCTCTTATGGCTGTTTCTAGTCTTATTATGTGATCTATTGTACTTCTTCCTTTATTATATCCACATTGATATTCTGATATGTGTTTTCCTTCTTCTAGAAACCAACTCAATCTGGCGTTGACCATTCGCTCCATTGTCTTTTATAGACAGCTTGTTAATGCTATTGGTCGGTAACTTTGTGGGTTGTTTCTCTCTTTTCCTTCTTTGAGTATGGGAATAATTACAGATTCTCTCCATATTTTGGGAAATTTCCCAGTAGTCCAAATATTGTTAAAAATATTCAAAAGGTATTTCAGCGATTCTTGTGGTAGTTGTTTAATAAATTCATAGTGGATTTGGTCTGGGCCTACTGCTGTATTATGGGATTTTTTATGGCTTCTATTAGTTCCGCTTCAGTGAATAGGTTGTTGTAGGCTTCTGTATTTTTAGATGAAAAATTTAGTTGGTTATTTATATCTTTTTTGTTTACACTTTTGTAGGTTTTGATTTTGCTCATTTTAGAGTTTTCTGCAAATGTCTCTGCTAGTAGGTTTGCTATCTCTCTTTTGCTAGTTGCTTTAGTGTTGTCCTTTTAAGATGTATTATTGGGTGTATTTGATCTTTTCCAGCTATTTTCCTCATCATTTCCCATATTGTCTTGGTTTTTAGAATGTGTATTTAGGCTGTTTACATATTTTTTCCAACATTCCCTTTTGGCTTCTTTTACAGTTTTCCGTGCTACTGCTTTGAGTTTCTTCATTTCAATCAAATTTTGGGTTGTGGGTTCCTTCTTGAATTTTGTAATGCTGCTTCCCGGTTTCTGACTGCTTTTTTGGCAGTTTTTTTGTCAAACCAGGGTTTAGTTTTTATAATTATTTTGCTTTTTTGGTATATTTTCTGAGGCAATGGTTATTAATGTTTTGGTAAAGTATTCTACGAGTTGTCTGTGTCCTTTGACTGTATCAGTACTTGTTTACATTTGTTTTTGAAACCCTCCCAGTTGGCTCTTTTCAGTTTCCATCTGACGGGGCCTATCTTTTCTTCCTTGGCAGGCTTTTGATTTTTCTAGTATGATCGGGTAATGATCACTGCCACATGTGTCACTATGTGTTTTCCATGTATAATCCATACAAATTTCTGGATCCTTACTTAAGTCTATTGATGATTCTGTTCCATTGGAGGGATTAAAAGGTTGAGGATTTATGATTTAATAGAAAGTTATGGGTGTTAATTATTTCTTCTAATATTTTACCTTTAGTATCTAGCTTTTTGCTATTCCATATAGGATTATGACTGTTAAAGTCTCCTAGTAAATTCTGGGTTTGGGAAGTTGCTCCATCAAGTTGTTTATTTCTGTTGTGTTTATTGGTTCCTGTGGGGGTATATAAATGGAAAAAATGGTTTTATCTAGTGTCACTTGTGTTGCTATTGCTTGTAATTTAGTTTTAATGTGTACTTTACTTTGTTTTTTATGTCATTTCTGATCAATATTGACACTCCTCCATTAGCTCTATGTCCTGTATTGTGATTATTATTATTGTTTATAATTTTTAATTTTTAAGTTGGTATTTTTCTTAAAAAAGTTTCCTGTAAGCTTTCCTTTACAGTAGTGACATAAGTATGAGTAGGTCATTGTAATTTTGATTTTATTCCATTAAACAGTTCCATTGCAGGATCTTATGTGCCATGATTATATTTTTCATTTTTTGGGAGTAAAGTTACCCTACTAGGTTGGTATCATTTGTCCTCTCCAATTTTTTTTTCCATCTCTTGAGTTTTTAGAAGCTTTGTCTTCAACTGCTTGTGGTGTCCTTGATCAGACTTTTGATTTTGTTTTGAATTTTGTTTATTATCTTTCTCTTCTATTTCTATATATTCCATAGGTTCAAATTTATTTTCATTTGATATACTGATTCTCGATTTTGAGTTAGATCTTGATCGAGTGCTTTCTTGCTCTGTTGTCACTTTTTTTTGGAATTTTTGTTTATTTTTTCATTTTCTTAGTTTGGGTTTGGAAAGAAAGGGTTCGCTGGAGTTTTGTTCTGTGTTTTCTTTCCAAGTTTTTTGCTTCCTTCTGGGTTTATTCCATTTTGATCTGGGTTGTTGAGTTTTATTTTGATCCGATTTAAGTTCGGTTAAAAAGGTTTTAATTCTTCAAGGAAAGCTTTTTAAAACATAGATTTGTTATTTCAATTGAACCTTTTATTTTATCTTCATTGTTTATTTTATTTGCTTTTTTGTGCCATGGAAGCATATGTGTTTTCTTTTATATTATTTATAACTTTCCTTTAGTGCTTCTATGCAAGATATATTTTTTTGTATTTTATTCTAATTATTTCTTTCTCCTGTTTATATATATTGCATTGTTTTGAGAGGGCAGAGTGGTTTCCCAAACAGTTTTGAGCATAGGCTCTCATTTGGGCAGTTCTCTCTTTGTGTTCTGGTTCCTTCTCACTACATTTCCCACATATTTTTTATTTCTACAGGAATCTCTGTGATGCCCAAATTTGTGGCATTTATAGCATTGTAGAGGGTTTGGTACATATTGTTCTACTTTTATACTTTTCATATCAATTTTATTGAAGTTGGAATTTGGGGGAGTTGAACGTTATAATGTAGGTATTAGTTTGTATCTCAGCTCCATTTTTTAATTGTTATTCTTTTAACATTTGTAACTCCTTGAGTTTGAGTTCTATTTTATTTCCTCTAGAGTGCACAAGGAGAGCTCCCTACTTTTTACTACTCCCTTTGAGTAATTTAGTGTTTGGTGTGGGTAGGTTTTTATTTCTATCTCTTGTAGTTTTTTGTCTGATCAATGTGTCCGTCATATATATTTTTTTCTACTTCTATTAGTATTGTTCCATTTTGTAATTTTTAACCTTTTTTGGTATTATGATATTTGTTATTGCTTTTTTGTATTTTAAACGGAGAAATTTCTGATAATGATTTTTGGCTTATTGCTTGAGTACAATAAACCGTGGGAAGTTCTCACTTTCATTCTCTGTTTCTGAGTCGTTATCTACATGTGGTCTCTTGGAAGATTTCTTTTTTTCCATTGATTGTTTTTATTTTGTTCATCATTCTCGCTCCCTACCCACCACGGAGTCCAGATTGGGACAGGTCAAGGGGAAACCCATTCGCCTTGCCATGTGGGGGCTCGTGAATGATATAAAAGCATGTTCCTTTGTTTCCGTTTTCCAAGTATTACGGCTGTGAAGGTTTAGCAAGTGTGTCAGATACTTTTTTCCCCCAAATTGATTGACCCTCAGCCACCGCCTTCCATCACATATTTAGGGTTAAGTGTTAGTTTTGGTTGGGAAGAGGGTGTCAGTTATAGGTTTGGGTTGGATTATATATGATGGGGCTTGGACATGACCAGCCGATTGATCAGATCGGGCCCCTCCGACCGCCCGTCTAGCCCAGGTAAGGGCCAAAGTGGTGTGTTACAAGATTGTGACCGCTTTACACCTGGGTTACAACCTGCTCAACCACAGGATCCCGTCCCCAGACATTACGGGTCGCCACCCACGGCCAACAGGTGGCCCCATTGAGGGACTTTACCCTCTGCAGGGGGGCAGTCGGCGTATTCTGATGCCCCACCGACCGGGCGGATTGATAAAGGACTATTATGAATTCAAAAACTGTGGAGAAACCACACTACTATAAAGAGACAAGTCAGGGCAATTCTCAAATAAAGAAAAAAGAATCTGTAGAGAGAGAGAGAGAGAGAGAGACATAATTGTCTAGACCTTGAAAGAATCTGGCATTTAAAGAAACAAAAAGAAAGATTTTTAGAGTTAATTGCACAGCCTAGTTTTGAACTCAGCTTACCTCTTTGGGGAGATTATTGAAGAAACCTTTGAAATTCAAGAGCTAAAACTGATCATTACAAGTTTCAATTTTGTCAATGATTTACATGAATGGAATATAAAAAAAATAATATGATAATTGAATAGAAATTCAGACAACATATATATTTAACATTGCTTTCTTAGTATTTGTGAAATTTTCTCTGAAAACTTTGGTAAGTTGAAAAGTAGTAGATTGGTAAGCATTTACAAAATGAAAGCAATTTAGTCATAATGAAAAGTTTGAGATAACAATTCAGCCTTTCATAAAAATAATAAAATTGTAAAATAAGATTTAAAAAAAAAATATTTTACCATGTCTTTGTCTGTTTCTACTACCACAGAAGGGAAAACATCTTCAGTTGAAGTCTGTAATTAAAATAAAATAACTATTTTAGGATTAAAATAAGAGCTGATGGAAAGGGAGAGGAGAGAATAATAAACATTGATATAAATGAATAAAAATGTAACAATATGATTTCTTACACATTTTTAGAAGTTAAGGAGATGAATTCCTTCCTTTTAAGTCCAATCAGCTATTGGAGTTTCATAGGAATTTTGTCTTCAGTCCATCTTTGAGTGAACTTAAGTGTCAGTCTTTAAGGATTTATGCCTCCAGTTCAACTTTGAATTGGGAAATATAAACATTTTATAAATGATTTTAAATAGTCATAAAAGTAGTCCTTTGAACATTTGACCACCCATGTGGCTTTGGAGTGGTCTCAACACTTCCGGAAAAGGTGGGGGACCCCAGCAATTATCCATATAAGCAGAAAGAGAGAGGAAGTCAAGGAGAGAATCGTCCAGTCATGAGAGAAGTAGGTAGATGGGTCAGTGAGTTAGTAGCTGCTCAGCGGGAAGGGGTGAAGAATCAACAGGGACCAAAGCAACAGGCAGCGAATATAAGGGTCCTTTTTCTGTGGCTAGAAGTTTAGTAACATAGCAGTCCACTTCTTGAAGCTGAAGGAAGGAAGCCACAGTTAAGTGAGAAATCATATTGTTGTTACTTCCCAACCAGTGAGTCTTGAAAGACTGCGCATATAGTGAGTTGGGGGTATATGCAAATACAATCAACTTTGGATGTCATCACAGGTGCAATGAATGATGGACGATTGGAGAATGTTGTCACAAAACTTGTCACAATTCCGCTATGAATGGCATCACAAAAATACACATTGTATTTGTTTACAATTAGCAAACTGATGCCACCTCAGTGAGCAAGAGAGTGCCACCTCAGTGAGCAAGAGAGAAAAGTTTAATAATATTTTATTATGGACAAAAGAAGCAATTCATCTCCAAGACAAATTTATACTTACATGTAGTTTAACAATTTTTACTGATTGGAGACAAAAAAAAAAATGTATTTTCAAGAGTGTTGAAAATTTCTCACAATCTAAGCATTTAAATGTCAGTGTAGGAAGAAATGGTTAATTTGTAAGTATCTATTGCTTATTTTTTAATTAGTTTCAGATCACTGATTGGATCACATCAAATGAATTTTCAAGTGTTGAAATCCAGGCCATCATGAAATTTCCTGTTTCCAAAGAAAATCAATGTACCAAATTTTGAATGTTAACTAAGAAGAATCGGTATTCAAAGTTCCAGTTTGGAGAATTTTGATACCCAAGATGCAGTATAGGAAGCCTTCAACAGTGTCCGTTCCTGAAATTGACCTAATTTTAGCTAATTGATGAATCCTGGTTAATATCCAGAGAATACATTGAGTTCTATAATTTATGAGCAGTTGAGTATACAGAAGTCGTCAGTCATGTGGGTGTCAAAATGTTTGAATGATAACCAGAAATGATATCTAGTGGGCACTTCCAAAATTGATTTTAAAACTCACTGATAATTTTTTTCAATGATTTTTCACTTTTTCATGAAACCTGATTATACTCGACCAAGTAACAGGAGTGGCACTTGGCTTCTTCCCAACTGATGAAATTCAAAACCCAAAAATCAATATGAAAGGACAGGGCCACAGTTGTTTTGGTATAAAAGAAGGTAATTTGATGAGGTATTGAAAGAAAAACAAAAGCAAACCATGACAATCTACCTACTCATATAATAGATGTTTTGAATACACAGACCATGTCTCTACTCTCAGAATCTTGCTCCACCTGATTACTTCCTTAAAAAGAAGAAGGAGAAGGAAATTTCTTAGATGATTTGGAGGTGATAGCAGTAGTATAATAGTATTTTAATAACCAAACAATCTATTTGTGATGGCTTTAGCACATTCAATTCTTTGTTTCAGGTGAGAAATTTCCAACATTCTGTTGTAATGAATAGTTAAAGCATTTAATGCACTTAATGAATCTGTAGCTCAATTTAACTGAAATCTAAAAGAAAGAATTTATTGATCAAGCAGATAACATATCTAATAATCAGAAATCAAGTTTACTTACTTGTATACACCTGTTTTCTACAACAACAAATAGTTTATTTCTCTTGGCTATTGTCCACTCAGTTAAGCTTGTCCTTTAAAAAAGAAAAACACAAAATTGAGGTAAAGATGCACATAAATAACAAAAATTATCCACACATACTATATATATATATATATATAACTCCATCATCTTTAGAGATTGCTTTCTTTGCTTCCAATAGGAAACTAAGCTGATATGGCTTTTGAGAAAAATCTGAACAAGGAGACATTTCTTTTAAGCAAATAGAATCCTGCTTGGCTTGGAGGCCAGTGTCCTAAAGCATACCAGATTAGATGGTGGTTCATCCTATGAAGAGGGATGTAGGTTCAAAGCTTGTCAGAGGGAACATTTTCTTTAAGTTTTCTTGAATACTTAGGCCAGTAGACAAAATAAACAGGATGTTCTACTCAAATATGGATATCCACAAAAAAAAGTTTGAAGTAATATATATATATATATATATATATATATAGAGGCAGTATATCTTCATTCAAATATGTTTTATTGAATAATAATATAGACATATTGTGTCTACATATTTTTATACTGATTCTTTCCAGTTGTTTAATCAGTTTCTTGATGTTAAGATGAAATCCAACAAGCAAAGTGTCAGATTTTTTAACCCAAGTACTTTCAACCTTTTCTAAGATCATCTTCAAGGGTAAATTACAAAGAAAAAATTATTGTAACTGTAATAAAATCTGCATTAAATTATTTTATTGCAGTTACAATAAGTTTGTCTTTGTAATTTACCCCTGAAGGTTATCTTAGAAAAGAACAAAAGTACTTGGGTTAAAAAACTATGGCGCATTCCTTGATGAATTTCTTAACATCAAGAAACTTATTAGACAACTGGAAAGGATCAGCACAAAAATAATAAGACACAATATGTCTATATTATTCAATGAAACATTTTTGAATGAATATTATATATTATACAAACAGAATCCAAAATTACCTCATATGGGGCAGGGGGGGGTATAGATCTATTTCAACCAATGAGGAGAAGCATGTTAGCCTTATTCAACCCTGGTGCATAGACTGTTCATATCAGAATTAGAGATTTAAAATTTAACCTTTTTTGTGTAATTTATATTCTCTGTCATAATAAATACATTGAGCTCTTTTTGTGGATCAGTTTTAATATTTGATATTACTAGAATCTACCTGGATTATATACCAACAGATATATATATATATATATATATATATATATCTCCATCCACATTGAAGAGTTGTGATACAGCGAAACAGTCTGTGGATGATAATATATATGCTCCCGGGAAATCCAGTTGAGCTCTCTTGAGAATAGGGTAATTTTAAAAACAGTGGCTCCTACTGCTATTAACGCATTGCTCGTCACCTGAATTGAGAATTGAGCTCTCCGGGCCACTGGTGTATTTTGTATAGAAAACATTAAAACTTCTGCTGTGCGACGAAAGCCTACGGATAGAATCTCTGACTGATGCCAAATCCTGGCTTGAATCAGATGTCTAGCCACACTGAGGAGCTGTGATGCAGCGAAACAGTCTGTTTATGGATGACTATATATATATATATATATATATATGTGTGTGTGTGTGTGTGTGTGTGTGTCTGTATGTATGTTGAAATTTAACTATTATTTTGAGATAAAATATATTTGAAATTGATATATAAACAAAAATGGATTAAAAAACAAGTAATAAAAATTTCTCCATTTGAAATCACATATTAAAATAAATTTTCATACCAATTAACAAGTATACAACACAAATGTAAGGCTAACATCTCAACTAGAAGGCAATCACACACTCAATGGATAACATAAAAAAGGGAAACTGATGACAACACTATAATAGAAAAAGAATCAAATTATAGAAATAAGTTTAAAAACGTTGACAAAATGTAATTTAGTGGCTGCAGTAAGAAATACAACAATATTGGGGAAATATTAATTTCATATTTACTTTTGTATTAGGAAGCATATATCTCAAAGAAAAAATGCTTTTTAAAGGTATGTCAAAAGATTATAGGAAAACTGATCCTATGTAGAGCCAAACAAATCTATTTAATAAATGGCTACATGTTTAATTGCATCCAAATTTTTAAAGTATTTATTATGATAACCACTAATAATGAAATGGCTTTTGAAAATTTAGACTTCTTAATCAACACTGTATGTAAAAAAATCTAAGTGCCATTTACCCAAAGCTGGAGTTATCTTCGACAACCAGCTGGTCTCCATCCAACAGACCCAAATCTGTGAGGGTCTGATTAGGATTTCTACAGATTATGTCCATTGCCTTTGTTTCTGATCCTGATAAAAAAAAAAAAGAAAAGTGCAATTTCATTAAATAGGATAACAAAAATATCAAAAGAAATGTGTATTAATGAGATAAAAAGAGAAGCTCTTCTAAAAAGAATGGAAAAGAGGGGGGAAATAGGAAAACTTATTGGAAGAGAAGAAAGAAGAGAAAAGAAAAGAAGAGATGATAAGTTATTTATAAGAAAATTACATCTGTGTGTCTTATGATCACATTTAAACAACAGTCCTATTGACTTAATTTTTAATATGAAAGCTCACAAGACATCTAGTTGTGACATAAGAAATGATTATTTAACTTTAAATGTGATTTGACGACAACAGAAGTTATCAAATAGTGCAGCATGTCATTTCTTGTAAAATGGAGTGAAATATTGAGAGTACTCTGAAAAAGAACATATTCCTTGACCTTATAAGCAGTCAAAGTTGACCTCTGACGCCATTGGAGGTAGAGTTTGTTTGTGGTCTTTATGTTCTGCATAAATTGTAGTCAATTAGATTCTTGGAAGAAAAAGATGATAGGAAAATTGATGTTGAAGAAGGGCACCCAAACTACATGATGTACACAATGGCTGTTCTGCAGGAATGATACAATTGAAGAAAAACTCAAATCAATTAAGTTTTTTTTTATGTTTTTTTATTATACTAATGTTTACCCTATACAAAGACCAAGTGCCACTCAAAGTAGAGGGTTATTGAAGGCGGTTGTTGGCTGAGAGTAGGAGGGGACAGTTTATGAGGATATGTGTGAAAGATAATGGTTAATCCTAGACTTGAAGAGGTTAAGATTATTGTAGTTGGGAAAAGTATCTTCTTGGTATTCTGTTCAACAGAACAACAGTTCTTGGGGGAAAAAGCTATTCAAGTGAAACTTACTCCTTATTAATTGGAATACAAAGAGAATGAGGGTGGTTCTCCTAAATGTACGCAGCATGGTGGGTCTGGGCTGCAAGGGTTAGAGTTAGAGGAACTAAGGAATGTAGTTCATCTAAACATTTTCTATGGAAAAGCTTGCAACTTTTCGACTATGAGAAAGGGACTGTAAGGGGGAAGACAATTCATCATCCACAAGGCCTTGTAGACAGTTCCAGAAACTTCTAAGACTGTTCAAAAACCAATGTTCTTGTGTTTCTTCACAGAGGGTTCAATAAAATTTATTTGACTCATGTAATTTGTCTAAGAAATCTTGACTCACCAAAGCTGTGCAAGAGAACTTGCTGAACTGTTAATGTTATTGAAGGAATAAACCCAACAAGAATAGGAAAAAAAAATGTAAGATGTGCATGAACCCAATAAATTCAATTTTAATTCAATTTCCAGTTGGTCTCAGCTTTGCCATGACCATCAACAAAGTTCAAGGAAAACTGCTTACACACTAATATTGTGGACCCTAGAAACCCTGTTAAACTAAAGATTACATCATTTATTTTATTATGGGCATCTAATTATTTTTAACAAGAGATTTTATGTTTAAATAGTGTGGATACTTTATTTATAACATTATGCAAGAATAGATTAAAGGACATTTCCCCACCCCAAGCTAGTCTTGCACACACACGCACAATCTGAAAGTTCTTAGCCTGAACACTTTCCAAATTTGACAAAAATCAACCTTTTTAAGAATCTATTTTGTTTTTTGGTTGGATCGAGCACTTTTCAGCACCCATTCATGTATATTGTTAAGTTTCCATAAAACAAGAGATATCAAAATTTATTTCTATCATATTTCTTTCATAAGTATTTACTTCTAAAGAAGAAAGTGTATTTACCAAATACTGTCAAGAAAAAAAATTCCATTGATAATTTCCTAAGAGTTTTGAAAGAGATTACTTAGAACATTTAGTAATCATTAAAATTGTACTATTTAGTATTAAAATCTTAAATATTTCTATGAAATCAATTAATAGATCAATTAATGTTATTACTATCAAAAGTCTGGCTTGCTACATAAAGCTAGTTTTCTTAGGAAAGGGAAACAGATTTGTTAAAGTTCATAAAGTTATCAAATGAATGAATGAAACAGTTGCCCAATTAAAATGAAGACAGGTGAGTCATTATGTAGGGGAAAAAAAAGGAAATTATTTTAAGACTTTAATTCAATGTACCTGACATATGAAGTTTCTTCATAGAAATTCTTTCGACTGGAATGCCAACATGTTGACTGACTGCTGCTGTGAAAAGAGCAAAAGTCAAGGATTTGGCAAAGGCATGGGTAAACTGCAGTGGGTTTCCATATATCACAGTCAGCAGGATTGGTTCACTGGCAGCTCCCACGGGAACTTCTTTGTCCTGAACCTATACATAGAAAAGAACAGGAATATCAAAAATTATTCTGTTTTTTCTTTATTGTTATTGTAAGTTGCAAGAAGTGATATTAATCTTTATTAAAAAAAGAGAAGGAAAGAAAAAAGGGAAACAAGGAACAAAGAGGAAAGACAGAAAAGAAAGACAGAAATGGAAAAAAGAGCAAACAATATAGTAATACATACATAAGAAATGTATTGGGTTGATGGTTCCTAGGAACAGAGTAATTTTGCAATAACTTTAAATTATTACAAATATCAATTCCATAGCAAATAAGTGAATATTTTACACACACAAAGGAGAATAGAGATTTAACTATTTTAATTTATTTGGAGAAAAAAATGCTAATTACTTAAGAGATTATCAGTTTTTAAATAAAGAAAAAATTAAATGAAGACATAGAGAAATAATATGATGGAAGTTGGCCATTTTTGATTTATAGAGAAATTCCATTAGAGATTCAAACATATTCGTAAACATATCAACCTTCTTTCCATCCCAGATAAATAGCTTTGTGTCATCTTTTATAGGTAAGTCTTTGATATGTTGAGTTTCATCCTCTGAAAGAAAAACAAGAACCAGTTTTAAAATGAAAACAAGATAGAGTCCTTTTTAGGACATTGAAGAAACATGTAGGAGTGGAAGATTTATATATTGTTTTTAAAGCTATTGATGTACAAAATCTAAAAGGGAATAGCAACAGTAATTTCTGATTCAAACTGACCAGGCACCTGATAGAAAAACTGACAAAGGAAAAATTGGCAGAGCTTAAATACACCTCTAGGATTGAACCACTTTTAACCAGTAGTGATGCCAAGCCTCGTGCTGCTGAGTTAAATGCAATTACCTTCTATGTAGATCTAACAAATATTTCTGTTAATAATTGAAATCTGTTGGAATGTGTAAAAGCTAAGTAATATTGCAGTTTCAGTAGGACCATATATATATATATATATATATATATATATATATACACACACACACACACCAAATTATAAAGAAAAAAACAAAACCTGAAAGAGCCTAAGTGGATTATATTATCTACATTCATGTAAACCTAGTCAAAACTGAAAGTACTTTTCATTCAGTCAGTTAAGGGTCATACATGATACATGCTTGGGCGATCATGTATCTTTCAATACTTGAAATATACCATTCACCATGAATTGAGTTTTAAGAAACACTTTCATTACAAACAATAACATTGATAGAGAATTTAAAACAATCACAAATTATTTTTGCAAATCTTGTTCCATTGATTCAGGTAATTTACTTTATCACTGTTGGGTTTTTTTATTTTATAGGTAATAGTTTTAAGAAAGGTGTAACTGTTGTAATATTGTCTTTGTTCAAAATACCTGAGAACAAGGTAGACCATAGTTAGAGAGATTATCCGAGGAACAAAAGATTAGGTAGGAAAGAAAAAAAAAAAAAAAAAAAAAAAAGAAAAAAAAGAAAGTGGTTTATTAAATACTCATATATGGAACAGGAAGGCTTGAATAAATCAACTACTCCTCAAATCCTATTCTAATGTGGCTACTTGCCATATTTGGAGCAGTCCATTGTCACAGTAGGAGGGAAGAGCAAGAGGTACGCTGAGTCCTACTCAGCAAAAGTAACTAAGATTAGGGTGTTTTTTTAAATAAATTTGAAAAAAAAAAAATAAAAAAAAAAAAATAGTGACCACAAGATTTTGCAAAATGTAAGCTGGGTTTTACTTTCTAGATGAATCATTCATTTAAGTGGAAAACAAAAACAATACCTGTTAAATGGTCATACAAATGTCCCCCAGCAAAGAGTTTCTTCAAGTGATGAATATGGAAGTTTGTTTTCAGCAATTTATTGGTATCCAACTAGAAAAGGATTAAGAGGAGGAGGAAACATAAGTGAAAACCAAATAGAGACAAAACAAAAACAATTTAAAAAAAAAAAAAAAATCAATTCATCCCAAGTAAGGTGATAATGCCATTAAGATGCATGGGGTTACAAAGAGTGTAAGAGAATGAGAAGAATTTAGAAGGAATTGGAAACCCAATTCTAAACTAGAAACAATGGATAAACCTCTACTCCTGTTCAAAAAACCAGGGAGAAGTGTGAATCAAATAATAGGAATAAAGAGGTGCTTGTTTTTTGTAGTTCATATTAGAGAAAGATTTAATACTTCTGTGTTAAATCTTTTCAAAAATTGTCTTTATCAGCTACTTTGTAAATTTTCTTTAAGATCAATTCAGAATATAGAAAAACTAACAGGTCAGTAGAGTTTCTGTTCAACATTAATTTTCTGCATCTTCAATAAACTTGAAAAGACATTATCATGATGTAATGAGGGTTGTTAAAAAAGTTCTAAGTCTCACCCAGAAAGAGCCAGGGGTGAACATGTGCCAACATGCTACCACTTCTTATAAAACTAGAAAAAATAATTCTGATTTCTGTGCAGGTGAGGCTGATACAAAGGTGAGGTGTGTGTGTGTGTGTGTGTGTGTGTGTGACAAATCTAAAAATAGACAAAACAGACACCTGAGCAGTCATAAAGTATTATGTAAAAGGAAGGTACAACACCCAAGGAAACTCATGAGGACAGACACTTGCCGAGAACACCCCTCTTCCTATGCAACTGTGAAAAAGTAGGCTGTGGAATTTAAGCAGGGCAGGAACAGTACAGAATATGACCCTTAGTCAGGTCATCCAAAAACCTCAATCAGTGATGGACAAGTTGATGCCATTCACTGTATGGTTTTGGATGAGAGATGACTTACTGTCCAGCAGATAGATCAGTCCATAAGCACTAGTTCCGGGGGGTGGTTCATACTGATTTAGCTGAGATTTTGTGGATGATAAAGTTGTCTGCAAGATGGGTCACAAGAATGCTGACACCAGAGCAGAAGCTGAAAAGGGTTGACATTTCCTGGACACTTTCTGACTCACTGAAATGCAGAGGGAAGCTGGGGGTAGGTAGGTGTGCTCTTGCTCCAGGATAATGTACTCATTCACACTGCTCAGGTTGCAGTAGCTGAACCAGCCAACTGTGGCTTTGAATTGCTACCCCATTCCCCTTTACTCCATCTTCTTCCTGTCTCCTAATGTCAAATCCCACCTGCATGGTAGTCATTTTGGAAACAATGATGAGATCATATTTTGCTGTGGAGGAGTTCTTGGAGGACCAGGACGCCACCGCCTTCTGTGATGGGATTGCAATATTTAAGCATTGGTGTATCAAGTACATTGATGTCAAGGGAATCTATATTGAAAAATAGTGAAAAGCTGTTTCCCCAACTCCTCCTTTAGGGTGATGCTTAGAAATTTTTGAACAACCCTTGTATGAAGCAAGAAGGGATTCCAAATAAATTCTATCATTTGGTTAGATTGGGTCAAGAACTGTTCAGCACTTATTTGTAATTCAAATTTATTTGCAATAAGTGCAGTTAAAAAAAAAAGTTATCTTTGCATGAACATTTTTGTTTGTGGTTTAAACAAGTTTTTTTTATATGACGATTTTCAATTTCTTTATTAGTAACCAAAAATCAATGATGAGATGCTGACTACTATGAAGTCAAAAACTTGACCAACAAAAGTTAATTTTAGTATAATTTCAAGTATAAAACAAGTCATCATTTTATACTTTGTTGTCAATAATAATACACTATTACAGAACCACCAGTAGTCATTACTGTCAGTTCTGTAATAGTATTAAATAAGACTATGTCTTCTATTCCTCTTCATTCAATTTAAAGTGTTATCTTTTACTGATAAAACAGTGTTTTACTTGTAAATTCTCTTCCAATTCTACTCTTCACTCATCTAGAATATCTTTGCTAGATTTTCCAATTAGCACCGAGTCTCTATTGTATGATATGCACATCACTTTGCCCATGGTTTCTGCTATCATCTCTAAACTGGAACCCCATAAAGCATTTGGACTTGATGGTATCCCTGCAACAGTCCTTAAGAAATATGCTCCTGAACTGGCTCTTGTACTCACTAAATTCTACAATGGCCTGCTGCTTCTTTCCTGATTGTTGAAAAATGGTCTTCTGTAGTTCTTATTGGTAAGTTTGATCGATTTGACAATGTCAAATTGGCAGCTGATCTCAAAAATGACCTACAATCTGTTCACTGGGGCAAGAAATAGCTTGTTAATTCTAACATCTCCAAAACGAAACTAGTCTCTTTAATCATCTTTGGAGAACCTATGATGCTAAGTGACTCGTTGCTTCTTCTTGGGCTAATGTTTTTCAGTGATACGAAGTGGAAAATTTATATTGAATCAATTACTAGGTCAGCTACTAGGAAAGCTGGTTCACTGTATTGTCTAGACAATTTTTCTTGTCAAAATCTATCATACACCTTTGTAAGTCTAGCAATCGTCCATGCATTGAATATTGCTATCACATCTAGTCTGGTGTCTCTGTTATTTAAGATTCTTGATAAAATCCAAAGAACCTGTAATGTTATCAGATTTAACATCTCACCTTCAGTCACTTTCCCTTTGCCATAATGTAGCATCCCTGTACTTTTCTATTAATAGAAATTGGAATGGTAATTGTTTTGATGAGCTTTCTCATTTGGTACCCTGACTTTATGAATTTAAGGGCAGTACTAATAGATTGGCAGCAATCAGTCAAAATGACTAGATGTAACCGTAAGTTTGTTACTATGTTTCTTTTTCTCTCACACTTCTTGCTTGTGGAACTCTTCTTTCGGCTTCTTGCTTTCCAGTCAGCTTCAAAATTTTAAATGCAATATCAATCACTATCTTTTGACTTTTAATTTCTGTTATTTTATTGTTCTCTCTCTTTAAATAAAACTTTTGTCTCAAATTCTTTCACACTCAGTAACACCTTGTATTTTAGTGACTTTATTGCCTTTCTGGGGGGGGGGATCCTCCATATTAGACTACAATGCCAAGTCTGAATTGGGTTTCTACTTCCTTCTAAATTCTACTTCAGCTCTATACTCTTAATGTATCCACCTGAACTCTGAAATTTTATTCACTATTTGTTTTTCTCTTCCCCCAATCGAAAGACATATGTTCCCACTCCTCCCCAGTTTTTTTGAACAGGAGTAGAGGTTTAACCCATAATTCCTGTTTAGGATTGGCTTTCCAGTTCCTTCTAAAACCTACTTCAACTCTAAATTCGTAATGTCTCTGTCTGAACTCTGAAATGTTATTCACTAATTAAATCTTGACCCCTGCAAGCCTAAAATTAGCTGCTATCTTTCCTGCATAGCCCCAAGAACTTCACTTCTTACCCATTCTTATGCTAATACAACTCCACACTATAACCCTCTATCTTGAGTGGCTCTTGGGCCCTGTACTGGGTGAACATTAGTTAAAAAAAAAACAAAAAAAAACTTGCGTCTGTGGTCCCAGTAAGATCTTATTTTTAAAGAACCAAATACTATATTCATAATATAACTAGCATCTGCTTACAAATATTATTCACAAAGTTTACTGGTTAAAATCTAGTGTATTATTAAGTTAATCAATTGAAATATTCCTATCATAGAATTGAGCTTAGCTGAAGGTAATATAAATATAAAAATCAGTAATAAATTTGCTTAGAAATTCTTGGACTAATCATTATAACATGCAAAATTTAAAAAGTAAATAGAGAAGAAGGCAGTAAAAATTATTTTCTTTGTTCAAACAGAATGGCAAACACCACAACAATAACTGCTGAGTTTTATTTAACAACTCTTCTTGATTTTGTTCCTATAATTTTTTTATTGGTCATGAGAGAAGGAGTGAAACTTATAAATTGGTACGGCAGACAAGGAAAAATAATATATATATATATATATATATATATATATATATATATATATATAGAAAAGACTGACCCACCAGTGTAGATACAAACCTCACTAATGGCTGTTTTCAATTCGGCAATTGATTTTCGTTTGTCGATATTTAGTGGAATAAAGCAACGTTCATCTTTACGAGGATGTAAGGCACCTTCTCGGTAGTCATAATTGTAAGAGAAGTGAATTTGCAGAGTGACTTGGTTTACATTACGATCATAAGTAGCCCTAGAAAGTAAAAAAAAAAAAAAAAAAGATTAAAAAAGCATGTACAAGAAAGGAAATAATTTTTAGATAATAGATAGTGATTATTTAATAATAATTAATAAAGAAAGTTAAAATGTTGAAAGTTGATGTCAATGTTAATTGAAAAACTAAGGCTATTGAATTTTAGACAAGAGTGGGTGGAAGCTGCAAATTAGATTGTTTGCTTTTGTTTAGCGGCATATCAACTTCTGTGGATTATTTAATACTGAAATATAAATATTTCATATGTAATTTTATTTTATTTTTTGGGAGACAATGTTTTTTAGCGATACAAGTCTTACTAATTAACCCATAGTTGGTGGAGAAGAGGTGGATTCATACCTTTCCCAAGAGTATTTGTGCATAAGTGAATATAAGGAGCCCAACTAGAACTGGAACACAGCTTTCTGATTAACAATTTTGAGCCATTATCCATTACACCACCTGCACATCCAAGCTTACAGCATCTGGTATTCCTAAGTGGTCACCTATCTAGATACTGACTAGAATTGATGTTGCTTAACTTCAATAATCATATGAGAACCAGTGTTTCAATGTGATATCTAGAGGGACTGTTTTTCTATTTTGAATTTTCCTTAATTCCGTTTCAGGTTTTAGGGAATTCCATTTTTTTTCCCCCCATTTTCAGTATAGATTTCTGTATTTGCTTCATTATAATACTTAGTGAGAATGTGTAACAATATATAAATATTACTAAAGCAAGAAAATAAAATTATTCAAATTTTTGAAGAAGTCTAATTAATTTGTTAAATTTGGCTTTTTGAAATGACAAACTGCCACCCCCACCTACCCCACCTTCATCACCATGTGTGATAAGAAAAAGAAAAGATAAAACAAAAAGACAAAATTTTGTTTTGCCCACCACCTTTTTTTTTTTTTAATTAAATCAAGCAAACTTCGTAAAACTTGGTTCCTAAATAGTACTGTAAACTGTAGGTAAAGAGGATGTATCAAAACATTACCGAATTTACTTTTTGATAACTGTCTGACAAGTAGGTTTGGAAAGGCAAACATAGTAACAAATAAAAATGGCAGTTGGCAAATCTAATTGTTAGAAATAAGAATTTCTATTACAAAATTGTGATTTCTGTTTAAAATAGGCCTTTCCGTTTTCACGGAAAATAAGCCCCTCAAGATATGGCCATAAGTCTTGCAAGTTAGATTAAAAGGAAGTCAAGAATTGAAAGGTTGATTTGAAGAAGAAAAAAAGAAAAGATTTTGTAAGAGGAACTAAATAGATGATAAACACGTTGAGTTTGTCCCAAGAGAACTGTCCAAAAATAAAAACAAGAAAAATATATAAAATGTGGCAAGAGAACAGCAAAATGAAAAAAAACACAAGTAAACTTCATGCTTTTTGCATATTAACAGGATGAATAAATGGCAAAGGATTTAAAGTACAACAGCTGGGACAAAATTTGTAAATAAGTTCATTGTATATCATTAAAAAAGACAAATGTAAAACTTCAGTAAAGAAATATAATAAAAAATATAGTTTTATCAAAGAAAACTTTCATGGCATATGAATTAGTAATTTTAACTCCCAAGCCTCATTTCCCTTGTTGTCTCAGGGTCCCAACACTTAATTTTTGTACAAGAGACTTTGTTTTAACATTGTTTCATATATGAGGCAAGGATATCATAGATAGTATTTATTAACCACAACCCACTGGTGTCTCATTCAGTTCCTGAATCCACTTTACAACCCAGAGTCCCACACAATCCACACGAATGCATGGTACAGCTCTGTGTATATATAAAAAAAAGTCCGCTAAAAACAATAGAAATTCCAAAAGTAAAATGAAATAAAAGACAAAAAAAATTAAAAATATTTTAATTTTTTTGGAAAGAAAAAAAAATTAAAAAAATGTGGTTCTGGTGTACCATGATCTCATAAGCAATCAATCATAGCATCCCATACCCAATAATTCTCGTGGAAAAGAAATTGGAAAATGACCCAACAGAAGGATTGTGGACCTTGTAGACATACCACCACAATCCTCTAGTGGGTTGTGTGGGAGCCAACATGTTAAAAACATACTAAAATATTAATAAATCATATTTTTATTACTTAGAATTTTCAGTCTAGTTTAGAGTTTGGTTACCTGTCACCATCTACACAGATTTTATTGACCAATAAAAAAATTGTTAGTATATATATATATATATATATATATAAAACACTGAACTATAATGAAGTTAATACTTTAAAAGGTAAAGTTCAGTTAAAAAGTATTTCTTGAAAAGCAAAAATAAACTTTAAATTTATTTGTTTAATGTGATAAAAGCTAATTTCTGCAGAAATCAAATTTTCAAAGTGAACTCACCTATCTTCCTCCAGTTTTTGGTTTTCAGCCAACACTTGGGCCAGCAAGTGGTCAGGAACGTTATAGGCAGGATTGCACCAAGCTAGATTTAAAAAAAGTTTTTATTTATGAACAAAGTTTATAAAAATTATTGATAATTTGAATTATGTACAATACCTTGATAAGTAAATATTTTGTTTTTTAAACTGTCCATCTATTTTGTCAACAATAAATGAACAATTGTGCAATTTGTGAAATTTCATTAGTTGTTCAACTATTTTCTCTTTTAATTTAAAAAGGTAACAGATTTTGAAATTCCATTTTAACTTTAGCAATGGTGATTGTTTTTTGGTAGAATATTTATTAAAAGAAATATTTTCATAATTTTATCTGTTATTATTTCTTCTCAAACCATAAAAATTCATGATTGTGAAGATGTTTTCATGTATAATTCTTTGTACGCTTACCAAAAGAAATAAAAAAAAGTTAATGTAAAGAAATAGTTTAAGTTACAATCTGTCTCAAGAGTTAAACAAGGTTTACAAGATACAGGAAACAAAATTTAGTTTAATATACTTTGTATAAGTAGTATATAAATGTTAATGCATGTGTGCATATATATATATATATGGGGGCGAGTGGTTAGAACGTTCGCTTTCTGACCATGAGACCTGGGTTCAAATCTCACCAGGGTCAATTTGTCAGGAAGGAGACTTCCTGATGTTATCAGTCTGGAGGTGGGGACGATCCTAGCGTGCAGCACATTTGGAAAATGCCTGAAAACCATACCATGGGCTGAACCAAACCTTGTGAGTGAAATTAGGTAGATGGACCACTTGGGGTCATCGATGGCTGTGCTTGCACAAAGTCACAAGTCATCATGACTGAGGATCTGAGCGTGCTGACGTTGTTTAGATTGTTGATTATTCTAGGCAATACGCTCTCTCCCAGAAACTCCAAGGTCTGCTCAGCATAGTTGCAATATAAACCACAGGTTGGCTCTGTGGGTGTTGAACAAACACAAATGTGCCTGAGTGAGAGTGTGCAATAGGGATTAGCTAGCCACCCTAGTAGATGGGTATCCTCGAATACAAGTGGCCAGCTATTATATATATATATATATATATATATATATTATATATTTAGGCAGCATATTTTCATTCAAGCATATCTGATTAAATAATTTAGATGTATTATTATTATTTTCTACAGCCACCAAGAAATTAATTCATGGACTTGAAAAGTTTAAAACTAAAAGACATAATGCATCTAAATTATTTAACCAAACATACTTTAATATATATATATATAAATTTTTTTCTCAATTATCTTGACACCATTGGAGGAGGAAGGGTTGAAAAAATATGTTTGGATAACTTAAAATTCTGGATAATTGAATACCTAAATTATTGAAAAAGAATTTTCTAAAAGAAATTAAAAATTGTATTTATATAATCAAATAACACTTTGTTCAAGGTTTTGTCCACTTTATTTCTCATGAGAAAAAAAAAAAAAAAAAAAAAAAGTTGCCTTTTGCTATTGCTAACTCCCAAAACTGGATTAACCCTTTAGCTTTCAACATGCTAAAACCCACTTGTAAATATTGGCCCTCAAAGTTTCACTGTTTGTTTCACTTCCTGCATTGCTATGATGTCAACATATATTATAGCAAAGTATTCTTATGCAACAGGTTTAATTTTTTTCCCAACTGATAATGCTACACATTTTTGTTAGATCATTCTAAATCAAGATCATTTTGAAGTGTGAGATCACCACATATAACAAAAGGAGAGAGTGAAGAGACTTGTGTTGAAGAGTAAAAACTACTGAATTGAGCTGTCAGTCAGGCAATATTGTCATCGTTCATGTCCAGATACTTGAGGACGTACTGTAACCTCTATGCAGAAACTGAATATCCAGTTTTTAAATAAGTTTTGTAAATGTGAAGACTTACCGGTTTGGGGTCGCTGTAGCATTTTCTTTCTGTAGAACAACATATAAGCACTTTCCTTGCCCATGAATTGTTTCTCCAAGTCTGACTCTGAGATAGGCTTGACATCCGAATCATCAAAATCAAACCATCTGCCACCAATAAGACTCCCACTATCACCTCCTTGTCTTTTGTCAGGAATATCAAGCTCTTCAGGACTTATGCACACAAAATTATAATGGAGAAATAAAAACAAAATACTGTAGTTGATATTTAATCTTACAGAAATGAAAGAACATTCAGTACATCCAGTAGAGTGTAATCACATATCGTGGTGAAAAGTTAATCTTTGGAACAAACTGTATTTTTATTACCAAATATGACATTTGAATTTAAAATTGTAAAATAGCATGTTCAGGGAATAATGAAATTATGTAAATATAAACAAGAGAAGAAATGTTTAAGAGATATAATGTTGACTAATTTGAATAATACATTCATCCGTTCAGTTTTTATTGCCATTACATAAAATTAATGAGTAAGTATTTATGTAAATAAAAGTAGAATGTCTCATTCAAAAATATATTAAAATCTGTCAGCCACTCCAGATACTGGCAAAGAATGGCATGTAGAAAAAAAAATGTTAATCACAAAGCATTCTAAACATTTTTATCATAAACAATTCAAAATATTGCTGCTCAAAAGCTAATTTCAAATATGCACTGATGGAATGTATGAGAAAATATATAGGATCCAGCCAAGTAAAGTTAATATCTATAATAAAGAACAAATCTCAATTGAATTTCTAGTAATGATAATAAAATCTAAGTAATATGGTAAAATTAGAAAATTACAAACTGAAAAACATTGAAAAATCTGTGAATATTTGAAAGTGGTTAAGAATTCTTGTCATATTTTGAAAGATGAAGTCTTTTGCTCACCTGCCATTCTGTAAGTCAAATTCATTGTGACTTGACAATGTCTCAGTATTGGAAGTTGGACTGTTCAACAGACAAACACAAGAATCTGATGTCAAGACAAATTTCTCTGGATGGCGAGACAGGAACTACAAAATAAAATAGGGCAAAAATATTATAAAAGATAATTAGAAAAATTATAGAATCATATCTACTGATATTCTACAGGACTTTTTTTTTGAAGAGTAAATAGGGCTTCTTTGTGTTTCTTTTCCTTGAGAAGTGTGTTTGGGGGCCAGAGAAAGGGAGAGGAACCCAGTTAAAAATTCTAGAAAAAATTCAATAGATTTAGGTAGTATCACTAAAATCTCAATTCTGTGCAAAAATAGATTCACTCAAATTTGAAATTAAAATTCTCACATTAGCATTTATTAACGAATCTGCAACATTCTGAAAGCTTCAATGGTGTTTAAGACAGACAGCATTCTTATTGATTGCTAAAAATATTGAAACTTTACAACTAGAAAATGATGAACAATCTTTTTCCTCCTAAAAATCAAAATTAAAAATTGGGAAATATATTTATTAACCAATACCACTTCTGAGTTTAGTAAATCAAAATTAACTTCCTATGTTCTGATTTTTTCTCTTAAATAGTATAACAAATTAATATTCTTCAGTATTAAGTAAAATTTTTGACCAGGGATTGTAAACAATATTGCATTCTCAAATTAACTTATGTGGTACTAAATTAATTCTTGCTTTTAAAGTATTTTCATAAACCAGTCTGAACAGTTTAAATTACAGTAGCAGTACAAATATTATCGGGTGACAGCTAGCCTGCTGCTGGAATCACATCATACACATACAAAACAATGTAATGTAAATCATTAATTTTTTTTAAGAATTCACATATAACTTTTTGCCCTATCCTAATAAAATTCATTTCTTTTGTGTGGTAAAAAAAAAAAAAAAACATTTTCGTGCAAACTTTGTTAGCGAGGAACTTTATAACGTTTCTTTCAACTTAAAACGAAAGATGATTTTTCTACTCAATAAAAATTAGTTGAAGTTGTAGAGGTGTGTTTGAAGATTATTTCGTTTCTTCCTTTCACACATTTTTTCCTCTACGAAAAAGAGAGAAGAGGAGAGAGAGATGGGTCAGAGAGAGAGAGATAAAGAGAAGAGAGAGAGAGATAAAGAGAAGAGAGAGAGATAAAGAAAGAGAGAAGAGAAGCGCCAACAAGAGAGAAAGCGGGAGCGCAACAAGAGAGAGAGCGGCAGCGAATAAGAGAGAGAGCAGAATAACAATAAGAGAGAGAGCGAGCGAGCGCAACAAGAGAGAGAGCGAGCGCCAATAATAAGAGAGAGAGCGACAGAATAACAAGAAGAAGAGAGAGAGCAAGAGAGAGAGCGAGTTTAATAAGAGAGAATAAGAGAGAGAGCATCAAGAGAGAGATAATAAGAGAGAGAGCGAGAAGAATAAGAGAGAGAGCGAAGAATAAGAGAGAGAGCAACAAAGAGAGAGAGAGAGAGCGAAAGAAGTGAATAAGAGAGAGAGCGAAAGGAGCGCAACAAGAGAGAGAGGTAAAGAAAAGAGAGAGAGCGCAACCAGAGAGAGATAAAGAAGAGAGAGTGCAATGAGAGAGGAGAGAGATAAAGAAAGATTGCAGAGAGAAAAATTGAAGTTTTACTCTGAATATATTAATAAAAACAATTAACAACTCCATTCACCTTTTTTGTTTTAATTCTTATGTTGACTCCATCTTAAGTTCTTTCCAAAGCTATTTTCATGCTTTAAACTTTTATTAGTGTAGTTTCAAATTCCATTTGTTATTTACTGGAAAAGCTTACTAACCTGAGTAATGGGCCCGTGCTGTTTTTTGAAGCGTTTGTTCCATGATACTCCAGTGTGTTTAACAAAATCCTTAAAAGAAACCAATATCCAAGTTATAAAGAAATTTGAAATTTTAAGTTTTTAAAATATACAGGAACTATACAAATTTTTTCAAGAGAAAAAAACAAAACAAAATTAATTATACAATTTTCATCTTTTGAACTATTTGACTTGCCATATTTGAAGATAGGATTTGGACAAGTGTGTTTATATGATATTTACTCATGCACATTAGTGTTATTCCGAAAGTAATGCCTCCTATTTTATTATGACCTTCAACATCAAAGGCAGATGTAGGTTGAATGGCAGTAGAGGTAGAATCTTTCTAACAATAACCTATCATCTTTTTGCTTTTGTTACAAATAGCAGTCTGGCAAAATTGCATCTGACATGAAAGCGTATATGAAACAGAAGTTATCACTGAATATCTCCATATGGTAAAAATTGTACTCATTAAAATTCAATTCTTGGTAAATATTTACAGAAATCAAAACAGTGCATGTGAACACAGCACAGTCTGGTAGTTTATAATGTTTCAGTAGTAGTAACAGTGATGTTTAGTTAGCCATATTCTGGGTGGCACTGCACATCCATTAACACAAGAGTTGAAGAGTGCTTGAAAATGCATAACCAGTGATTGTAGCTATGTGGAAAAATGAAACTTTGCAGGTGAAAATTTGTGAAAGTTTCTGTGGAAATAAAGAGGAGGCAATATATTTGGAGCATTCCTTGTGAGTTTACACAAAAAGTGATTCTAGTGTGAACACACAGATGTAGGGGGTGTTGACATTTTCTGCTGACTCACACTCAAATTTTTTGTTTTCTTTGAAAGTTTCCTTAGGCAAAGATCTTTTCTCATATTCCTTGTATAACACACACAAGAATCTTCCATAGGTTGGTATGTATAATAAGTCAATCATAAAAGTGGAAATATGAAACTTGTAAATGATTGACAATTTATCAAAAAATAAAAATACTTTTTTCATAATTTAAAACCACAAACTTGGCAACAAACCATAAATGGTGTTTGCTAAGCATGGCATAGATATGGCACAAGGCCAAAAGTATGGAGCTCACAGTGAAAATGAAACTCACTATTCAGTTGTAATTGATCTAGTGAGATAAGCTTGCGAGTCCTTACATCATGTGAAAGTGCTTTGAATGATTTTCTAAGCATAGCTTAGATGTGGCACAAGACCAAAAGTATAGAGCACCCAGTGAGGATCAAACTCACTACTCAGTCATAATTAATCTAGTGAGACTAGCTTGTTAACCATTACAGTATATATATATATATATATATATATATATATATATATATATATATACGCACACACATATATAATGGAACATAGGTTCACAGATTTAATTAATTCCTGAAGGCCGGTTGTAAACCAAAACTATTTTTCCAATAGGAATAAATGTAGAGAAAAAAAGTCACAGTACAATAAAATTGGAAAAGAAAAGCACAGCACAACACATGAATGTATACAACACGGCAATCGACTGAGTAATTATTCTGTTTGTGTTAACTCAGTTCAGCTATGTTGTTCGAGAACCAAAATTTTGTTTGATAACTGAGGCATTTTCATTTTTAATTTTCTGTTCAAAAACCAATTTGTTTGACATGTGAGATGTTAGAGAACTGAGGTTCCACAGTATTGGGGAAAATGTATGACAAAGTGGAAAAAGTTTTATTGTGATGCGTTTCATCCTTTGTTATGTTGATGTGACAACACATGTGCATGAACAAGGGATGCTGAGAATTTTAATTTTTTTTTTGTCAATTTCATTTAGATTCTTTTTCTTTCCATCACTTTTGTTATTAGACACCCCACACTGTGATAATAGAAATTCTGCCAGGAATGGCAGAAATGTTAAGAGTCAGCCCACAAATTTACTGTAGATGACTTTGTGACCAAAGCACCCTCTAAACATTTTCAGCATAGTGAATTGTTTCCCCCTTTTATCACAGTAGCGCGCACACACGCGCATTTATATAAAGTAGACATTGAAGTCAACAGTGGCAACAGTCTATTTCAGTCATAAAATGCAATCGTCATGCCATATGCATTGTTTTGCATTTATGACTATAGGTCAGTGATGCATTATGGGTAGTCTATTGTATTATTCTAATGGTTATTTTGGTGGGTGGTAACAGTTATGTTCCAAATTATTCTAGGGGCTATTGAGTGGAAATAGTTTTTTTGGCTATTTAGTCTTAACTTTTTATTTATTATTGATTATTTTATTGTTGTTGTTATTATGTTGACTTGTGTTTATGGGTGCATCTGGGCTTTGTTAATTTGTTTATTATTTACTGGTTTGGATTGATTTATTATATATATATATATATATATGGGGGGGAGAGAAATAAACAGGAAAATGTGAGAATTTATGGATACCAATAAAGATTTGAAAATATTAGTTGATCATAAGAGATCTCTAAAATATCTTTATTTAAAAGGTATCAGATATGTTTTGGCAAATACTTAATACATGAAATTTAAACAATTTGTTTCAACTTCAAATCAAATTTATTGACATTTCTTGTTAACTCCGTTAAAGTAAACATTATGTAAATTTAGTGAATATATTCATTTTTTTAAAAACAAGTGCATGAGAAACAATATTTTAAAGAAACTCTCATTCAATCTTTTGAACTACTCTTTTTCACAAGAAAACAGGAAAATGTAAGAGGGTTGAAAATAACTCACCATACAGAGTTTGTCAAGTGAAAGGGTGTAATTGTCAGCCTTGGCCAGTGTGGCAGCAAGCAATTCACAGGGATTGTCAGTCTCTAGAGACTCAAATTGAGTCTTATATTCTTTCTCCTTATTTGGTATACTAATCAGAGGCACAGGTTTGGCTGACTGATGAAGTACAAGCTCTCGACACTGGAAAGTAGATATAGTGAAAAAGGTCAAACAATCTTTCCATGGTAAGCATAACAAGAGTTAAGCCTTAAAAAAAAAAAAGAAAAAAAAAAAGGGCAAACTTCACAATTTTTTTTTAAGATGTACATTTTTACATTTATAGACAGATTTTATTGTAGGAATGGAGTAAGAAACATGTTTACAGTCTAGTCACCCAAACCAAGAGTCAATTTCTGAATTGATTTGTTAAGAACATTATATTAATTCCACAAAACCAACAGCAAGCACATTTAAGTCACTTTGTCTAGACAGCATTTGATGTATGTCTAATAGAAACAACTTTAAAATGAAACCTTGTATTTTTGTGACTGAGATAAAGAATCTGTCACTGTATGAAAACCAGTAAAAACATTTCATCATTAATTAACAACGAAAGTTAATTAGGCATTGATTTGTTCAAACATTTTTTTTAAAATGAAAAAGATAAATTTTGCTGAAAGTTTTATTTTTATGGTTAGTTTATTTCTGAGATGATGTTATTTTTCTTTCTCTATTTAAGCAGAGAAGTGGGCATTACAAAGACCAAATACAAAGGTAACCTGAAGAAAGCTGAAGGTTACAGTGGTCAAAACGGGGTAAATATAAAAATAAGCAAAGATAACATTTTGAATAAATAAGTATATGGCGATAATTCTGCATTTAAAATATTCAGACAAATTTAAAAAAACAAAACAATATCACCGATATACGTTTATTCCTTTTGTTTAATTGGAAAAGAAATTATTAAAGCACAAATAGAAATTTATTAAGATTTTCCTTCAAAGAAATGGTCATATTGGTTCCAATTAATTTAGGAATGACTGCAAAAAACATACAACAAATTTATAGACAAATTGTAAAGATGCATGCTGGGATTTCTTCCTAGTTAATAAGATTGTCCACTTATTGGTTTCATCTGCCATAATTTTGTTCTTGTCTTTAAGTCAGAACACTGTGATCGCGTGTCTGCATCTCTTTTGTGTGTTAACACCAATTCTTACTTTGTAAACTTTTTGCCTTATTACCATTGTTTTACCTACTTTTGTCTTGTATATCTATTGGTTGCTTAGTATTATTTTTGCCCTGTTCTTTTCTTTCTTTTGTTATTGTTTATTACAAACTGTTTGTTGGGGCATTTCTGCCAATTACTCTACATGTCAAATCATTTTATGGTCTTTATTAATTTAATGCAGCTTTGGAAATTTTAATTATATGAAATGAATGAGGAAACTGGGGCTTCTAATCCTTGTGTTAAAAAAAAAAAAAAAAGAAATATAAAAGAAAGAGCCTTACCGGTTCAATCCAATTACCTAAACCATCAATGTCTCTGATGTAGGCGTGGTAGTGTCCACCATGTGTGCCACCGCGGTGAATAACAACAGAAAACAGTTCATACTCGCAGTCACAACCAGGAAGAGTCTACAAAAAGCAATTTTTTTTTTTTCATCATCAAGAGAAAATGATTATGTAGTATATTTTCAAATCTTAAGTGATTTAAGGGTGGGAGTCTTACACTGAATCACTAAATATCAGATTTGAAAGTACATGTAGATATATATGCAATACTTAATCAAGAAAAATCTAGTTTTAAAACCACAAATACAAAATTTGAAGGGGAGGGAAAGAGTATCTTTATTTTGTTAGCATCAAGAGTTTGAATTAAACCATTCAGAAAACCAATAGAAATTGGTACATTTTTTACAGCACATGTAAATTGTGAACAATGATTTAAATGCAAAAATTCTACATACATCACATTACATACCATTTGAAAAATAATATCTAAGTAATTTCATTACTTACATTTTCTGTGAATGCAGACATATCTACAGATTTCGGAAATGCAAACTTTCCAGTTTCCTGAAAAATAAAATGACTTCTATAAGAATTAGCTGAACATAATGTTGGGAATTTGGTTTCCTATTTTACAAGCATTTTTTTTTCTTTTTTTTCCCTAGCAACTTTATAGTTTTCAGGCACAATCTTTTTTTTATTTATTTATAAGTGAATTTTTGTTAAAACAAAACTTTAATATGCATGGGAAATACAGAGTTAACAAAGCAAGAATGTCAAGTTTGAAAATGACTTACTTTGAAACGATCCATTCTTTTAAAATCATAGCTGAATCTGAGAAGGGAAAAACTAAGAATTGGAGGCAGAGAACGTAATTTGGCACCCTGAAATGAAAACAAGGAGATATACTTGAAGAAGAAATTAAATATTCATTGCCACGTGTGCAAGGGTTTTATATATATATATATATATATATATATATATATATATACACACACACACACACGCAAGTGTGTGTCTATTTTGTTTAATAAAAAACAAAAACGGGAAGAAATGATTGCAAAACCTGACTAGTCATCAGGATTTCTCACTATTATATATTTCTATTTCAAACTCATGTTCTTTCAAGTGTATCTGATTTTCATTTATCGTTCAAATGTATCCTGATCAAAGTTTGTTAGAAAAAAATAAACATGTTCCAAGTTATAAAAAAGGTTCATCTACTTAATAATCTTAGAAAGCATTTAAACTTTCTCTGTTATACATAATGCAGTAGAAAACAGTATTGGAATTTATATAAGTTTCTGTAAAAAGCTCATTTAAAAGAAATTGTGCACTCTTTGTTACTATTTTATGACCTTGGAAATGACCTGATAAATAACTTTCAGAGACAACATGAGTGGAAATCATGAGTCTTATGGAAAAAATATTATATGTAAACATTTAATATTTCTGTCATTTTTGAAGGATTTTAATAATTTAATATATATTTTTATAATAATAATAAACAACATAATGTGCAGGTTGCTATGTTTCAACAAAATTAAAAAAGGAAAGAATATCATATTTTCTTGACCCTGTGTTTCTGAAGTTAAAAACAGGGAATAAATTACACACTTGACTATAATGCAGCCATTTCCATGTAAATTTTTTTTATTTTAAAGTTGTAGCATATTATCCATTCAAATTGTATTGGGCTACAGCATAATAGTTTTTTTCTGCATATTCAATTGCTTTTGATTTAAATGATACATCATTTTTTAATCAATTTACCCCAAGCAAAGCAATAATGATACTAAGACACATTGGGCTTTTGGAAGCGAAAAAGAATGAAAAGACTTTAAAATAGGTACCTCCTCTAGGTCGTGTAAAAAAGCAGCATATCATGATGAAAGAAGGTCCATAACTCAATGAAAACAAAGTTTTGTCATCAAATTATTATTAATTATCAGTTATCAGTTATTATTAAAACCAAAGTATTTTTTTTATTATTTTTGGAAATTTTTTTTATTCCTTTCTAGCATGTTGAAAATTTTGGTTAAAAATCTTGTTTTTTTGTTTTTTTACGACAGCGTTGGAAAAGAGAAAAAAAAAAGGTTGGTTTTATTTTGCACTTTTCCTGAGGAAAACACACATTGATTTGGAAATTCTTGCAAAATTCAAATAATTGCCGGATTTTAATGAAACTTTCAGGAAATATTCAGAAAGGAATGAAATTATTTTTGAAATTTTTTTTTTTTTAGAAAATCTTGGTAAAAATATTTTTTTTTTTGTTTCTTACATATTTTCATGAAATTGAGAAATTAAATTTTTAAGAGTGGGATTTTTTTTATTAGTTAAAAACAGGACTCTTTACAGAAAGTAAATCATCAATTTGTTTTTGTCAGACAGAAACACCATTTACCAAAAATCTGCTCTGAATTGTAAAATAAAAAATGCAATAAAACTAAGATATTATTTAGAAAAGCTTTTACTTGCTTTTGTAAATAAGTTATATTTAAGAAATTATTATCTGAAGAAATTAAATTTTTTTGATGAATAATGAATATTTACAAGAATTTTTTCACTTTTTAAAAAATTTATTTATAGTATTAATACTTCAACAATCGTTTATCAAAATTCTTCATTGCTTTTAAACTTGCAATTTGGTGATATGGTTAAGTGAAAAAGTAAATTTATGAATCAAAATTTGTAAAGCTTTTTCTTATTTTATTTTTTCTCAAATCATTTGACATTTTCAAACTAGATACTTTGTGTCAACAAATGGAAGAATATTAAACAATAACCTCACAGCAGAGGAATTATTGCCCATTATTCAAACAGGAAAAAATTGAAAAAAAAAGTACATAATTTATACATTAGTGGGAATGTTATGAAAATGTGCATTCCCTTTAATTTTATTTTTTTTTTTTTTAATCAATTTCAGTGAATGTAAGTCTTTGAGACAAAAAGACATTCAGTTATGCTGATTTCCAAAGAACAAATATTGTTGACATATCAAATACTTTTGCTATTAACACCTACCAACTTTGTGTTTTATTATTTATTCTCCGAGTGTATTTTCAATATTACCGTTTCAAAGAAGAGCCTTTTTTTCAGACTGAGTAAAAATTTCTGAAAATGTATACTTACATATAATACGACCACCTCCCCACCTTTTGCATTTAATTTTTGTTAATAATTGCACATATTATGCACAAGAAAATATGGCAATAAAGATTAGGAGCTACATTACAAATCTTTTGTATATATAATTGTTACTTTGTCTTTATATAAAAAAAAGAAGCTAGTCATCTTGATACAAGAAAAATATGAAGTCATAAAAAGACTTACTTTTTTTGCAGTGACCAATTTCTGACACTGTTCACAGTAATACTTGTTGTTACCATCCATGGTTTCCATTTCACAGTAGAGAATTCCAAGACCAAGCTCTAAGCTACTTGATTCTTTTGTCACAGTAAGGGGAATATCCACAAAATCTTCCTAAAAACAATTTAGGATATCAGAATTTGAAGAACAAGTGCAAACATTCAGTTATCCAACATTTGTTTATTTACATAAAAACTAATCAATGAAGAGGATCAGTAACAAATAAAAAATTGATCTTTTCAGCAACTAGAAACTTGAGGAAAGGCTGCTGAAAAATTTTCAGCACAATGCATTTTTATTAAATCTTTTTAAATAGCACAAATTTTGTTTAAAATCCTCTTTTGGTTGGGATAATGATTTTTCAGCACACCCTTGTTTGTTTGTTTGTTTGTGTGTGTGTGTGTGTGTGTGTGTATATATATATATATATATGTGTGTGTGTGGCTGAGTGGTTAGAACATTCGTTTTCTGACCATGAGATCTGGGTTCAAATCTCACCAGGGTCAATTTGTCAGGAAGCCGAGGTATCTAATTATAGGGGGTGAAGTAGTCTGTGGGTGGAGTTTATTTATGGTCAGAGCCTTTTGTTGTCTGTAACTAAATTTCAGTTACTACTTTGGTGTGCCCCGTATGCTAGCAACAAGTGTGTTTTTTTTCCGGGTAAATAGTATTTAGACCACAAGGGCTTAATTTTATTAATAAGTTACGGGGAATTTAGCTTTAGGACCAATTAAATTTAGGTAAATCAGTTGACTGATAGATTCATAAATTGTGGGTAATACTAGGACATTTAATGGAATAGATCATGCTATCCAACCCACATACATGTGTTTGTGCGTTTACACATACATGCACTTATGTGTACCCACATACATGTATATAAGTAATCCTACGCACATACACACCCCCATACATACATTATGTAATTTTGAATCTGTTCTTATGTCTACATTTCGTAATTAGCTCTTTCCATTGATTTAATAGTTTGCATTGATTTTGTATTTTATCATCCTAATTTTCTCCAAACATAGCATGCTCCTATCTCTAAAACTATTGTGGGTGTTTGCAAAACCTAAACTTATTTGGGGATTCAGGCACTTTTCCTTCAATTCCCTAAATTTTTTTGAATGGCCTGTTTGGCGTTCTAATTTTGGGTTGGTAAATGAATGTCTATGTGTATTGATTCTCTCTTTAAATTCTGCAGAGATGCCAATGTAAATATTATAATTTGTCATATTTTCTTTAGGGGTAATGGTTGCCTGGTATATATTCAACAGGAAATTAATAAAAAATCAGCTATCATACTCCTGTATGAATAATATGTATCAAATTATTAATTTCCATAACAATTACATCTTAAGTAAATTCCATGGGAATAAAAACCAAATCTAACATAGAAACCCCCTGTAATTGTAGAATAAAGAAAAACTTCCCAGTAGAGGGCAAATGCAGATCCACTAGGGTTAGTTATGATATAAAATATCCAAGACACTAACCTTCCTGCAAACACAGTTTCTATCAATATGACTCCATCAGGCAGAAATCATGGTTGCAAGAAGGTCAATGTTTTGTATATTTTATACCTATATGTTTAAAACAAAAATTAAAGCAGAAACTGAAAATGGTTTAAGAACATAAAATTTATTTACCTGTCTTTCACTAATTTTTCCACATTCTGAACAAATGATCTAAAAAAGATAAAACAGTTTTAAAAGAAAAAGAATCCAAATTTTTTTTAAAAGAAAAAGAATCCAAATTTTTTTTAAAAGGAAGAAATCAAACTAAAAGAAAAAAAAAAAAAAAGTCTTAAAAATAAACTGAAAATGATTCAGGATAAAGAAAGGTGATTTATTATAGCAATGAATTAGCAATCTGAAACACTTAAGTCATATTGAATTGTGTTCATTAGGTCAGTAAAGGTAATGTACCTGATTGACCACTTGTCCATGGTAGAGCTTGTGGATAAGATTTTGTCCTAATGTCCCAATCAAAGAGTCCTCAATGGCACTGAAAAGGATCCGATTTAATTCCTGAACATCATGTTGCTGAAGTTCCTGAAATAATAACAATAGATCTTAATACTTTGAACATAAAATAAATTCATTTAAATGCAAGTATTTTAATTCCATATCTTCTTGGCATCAGTTTAAGCTGTCATCATTTTTTTTATATATATTATGAGCATTATGCTTAAAATGTGTATTTTCTTGATTTCAGATGAAAACCTGGAAATTTTCCAATATATTTCAGTGAAATTGAAAGTATAATTTTGTAAAGTAATTCTAAAATTATACTTTCAATATATGGCAAAAAAAAAAAAAAAAAAGAAAGAAAAGAAAGTACCAATTTAAATTAGTGTTCCCCAACCATTTTTCAACCAGCGTCCCCCTTTGGACACAAACTTTTTTTTGTCAATGCACCCCCAATTGAATATTATATAGAATTCAATACAAATATTATACTGAATTCATCTTTCATAGCAAGATGACACTTAGGAATTAGTGCAAAAATAATTTTAATATTGTTTTCATTTCTATTATAAATGCTAGATTAAAAAGCTAAATAAAAAAAATAATAAAAAAACTTATTTGGTCTCAATGTTTCCAATACAAAGGTTGACTTTGGTGCTTACTGGCTAAGGCTTTTATTCTATTTTCCATGCTGTTTAGAAGTAATCGTAGATCTCATCATTTTGTAATGGCAGGCGGTTTCTTTGTTTAGTAAGAAGCTGTGTAACTGTTGAAACCACATTCGGCCATATAGAAAGTTGGAAAAGCAATGAAGAAAAGTTTAATAGAAAAAAAAGAATGGATACCCCTCCCACAAGTAAAATAAAAACTCTGTGCCCCTTTCAACATAACAGAGCCCACACAAGGCACACCACTCAGCCACGTTGGAAAACACTGGTTTAAATTGATGCCAGGAGAAGATGGGTTAATCTGGGAAACAACTAAAATAGTAAAAAAATGGAAAGTCAAAATAATGTATGATTAATTTTGCTATGATTTTATACAGTTCTTTAAAAAGGACACTGTTCTCGGGATTTAAAATGTAAATTTATGCAGATTAACTTTGAACTGTATTTTCAAAGAAAATATGCTAACAGCTTTTTTTTTCTTGCAATTCTTTCTTGTGGAATTCCCTTCTTGCTCCATGCTTTCCAGCCCAGAATTTAAATGTAATGTCAATTGCTATCTACTCTCCTCCTGCTCATTAGTAATGTTTTTGTTCCTAATTCTTCCACACCCAGTAACCCCCTTGTGTCTTAGTGGCTTTATTGTCTTGCATGGGGTAAAACTGATTAAAAAAACAAACATGATTGAGAAAAAAAAAAAAAAAAAAAAAAAAGTCAGGCCCTACTAAATTGATTAACCATCCAAAATTTAGAATCGGAGTTACTTCCCTTTATAAAGCTCGCTCTCGCTCTCTCTCTCTCATATATTCCTTTTGGTACCATTCAGAAAAAGTGTTTCTTCATTTTGTAGAGCATTTAACTTGTTGAGTGGGTTCAGGGGGAATGATTAATGATACAAAGTAGAAAAAAACATTGAAGAATAGAATCACATTACAAATTATTTTTCCATCATCAGCTCAGCAATCAAAAAAAAAATTGTCATGGTACAGTGAAGTAATGGATAGTGGCTCAGACTGAGGAATTGGAGAGCCGAGTTCAAATTCCAGTCAAATCCATTACATTCACTTATGTGCTAATACCCTTGGGAAAGGTATGAATCCTCTTCTCCCCTCAGCTATGGGTAAATAGCAGAACAGACTGGGTTCTATAGCAACTGGTCTACTGCAGAAAGAAATGGCAACCTACTACAGGGGAAAAAAAATCTGCCTCATCAGATGTAAGCATGTATCACGCATGGTACATAACTGACTGACATGTTTGTTTATAAGAAAATCACATTTTTAAATGCTTACTTATAGTCTACAAGGGGAAGATTTGATTTTGGAAGGGAGTGTTAGGGATGCCTTCCCTAATATTACTATCACTCTTTCCGTTTCTGGGGCTGAGTGTCATTGTAAGCTTCGGAACCAATCAAAATTCCTGCAAGAGTGTTGGGCAGCCTTAAGAGCTCTTCCTTGGTCCAGTGACCTTTCACAGCCTCGTAGGCTATTGTATTGTGATTTAGTGGAGGGGGTCACGACAGACCATTTTTGTGACTGGCTTTGCTTGTCAGCAACAGAGATACGCTCTGTTTGGTCTTGGGCACCAGCAGCGAACTACCTCAGCAACTCTGAGTTTTCATTTACCTAGCAATTAATGTGCTACCTCACAATGATATGGCCTTCAGATGGGGCTGGGTGGATTTGTCTGACTGTCATTGGTTTGGCCTTGGTTTAGAAGAAACAGCTTCACGTGCCTTCTACCTTTGTTTTTAGGTGTGCTCTTTCTGAGACTATGTTATTGAGTTGACGGCTCATATTGCTCCCAATCAGCTTGTGTCCATTGGTCTTGTGTATGCCTGTAACAATGTGTTGCCCCAGTCCTCCGGGGTGAAGCAGATGGTGTTTCTCATGTTGCTAGCTGTGGCAAGAATGGTGGTATGGACATCGCAAATTGAGGGAATCTTGCAATATGAGTGTTATTCTCATCAGGATTTGGCTGGATTTTTTGGGCATCAGCTCAGGACGAAGATCAGATCTGATAGTAAGCGTCTGATATCAACAGATTTCAGCAAAATGGGGGTACCTGCAGTGAGCCTGGTTTGCATGAACGGAGCCAAATTTTCTCTTTTGAGTCCCCTTGAGAACAACAGGGCGGTTTCCTGTGAACCCTCCCCTGGTTAAGTTAGACTGTTTTATCTTTTCCTAGTTAATGTGAATAAGTGTTGTTAGTTGCCTGTTCCTGGTATTTTCTCTTGTTATGGCCATGTTGAGATTCGCAACCTCCCCAGTTTATTTTTATCCCCTTTTTACATATTGGCTGGGACAGACTTTGTTTTCTCCAACTCCACTGTTTAATTTTTCCTTCCTCACTCCATTAGTGAGTGTACTGCTTGATTCTGTGGAATGGAAGAATACAGCAGCCACTCTTAATTTTTCTGTAAGATGGACAGATCATACTAACATATTTTATTTTTTAGTTTGAATGTTTTGTTGTATTTTATTTTCATTATTGAGTTCATCTCTCCAACTTCATTTAGTGCCATATATTGTTATAAAAAAAAAAAAAAAAAAAAAAGGAACAAAAAAGATTTGCATATTGTAAAATTTTTATGTCATGGATTTTTTAGTAGGATCACCCCTTTGAGTATGCAGTCTTGGGGTGTATGTCGGATGAATGGAGATGAATTCTTGTGGCGTTTGATGAAATTGTAATGAATGAATAGGTTGCAAATAAAATTAGCTAGGTTTAGGATAGTGATGACCAACCTCATCCCATTTCCCCTTTGGCCTTGTGCCACAATTGTATTTTTATGCAATAAATAATGACTCAATCCTGATCTGTCTTGTCTTGAAGTCAGAACACTGCATTTGTTTATCCGAATTTGCTTGTGTGTCAACACCAATTCTTAGTTATTTTTGCCATAATACTGTTGCTTTGCCTTACATACATTTCGTTTGATTGCTTTGGAGTATTTTTGTCCATTTTTTTTTTTTCTCTTGTTATTGTTTATTGCAAACTTTGTCAATTCTGTTTGTTGGGCAATTCTGCCACTTACTCTACACTAGTGATAAGAAAACAATGTGTCAATACACATTGTCACAAGGTGAGTCAGTGAGAAACCAAACACTTCAAATCTACTTTGACTAAGCAAGCATTTTGTTAGAAATCGTGTGCACAAAGCCTCGGTTATTTAAACCATTCCCATTTATGTGTCATAAAACAAGCAAACACTGAAAATCATCTATTAAAAGTGGTTTGTGTTGTCAATGAATGGAGTACCTCATTATTGGTCCATCCAAAGCTCTCAGTGAGTTCTGCAGTGGAGATGCTGTGCCTGTTGGAGAAGAGCAGTTGAGTGAAGAGACGCTGCAGCTGAAGTGGGATAACTCGCACCTGAGAAAATAAAAAAGAAACAGAAATTTAAAAAATCTTAATTGATTTGCAAAATGCAAAAACTAACATCAGTTTTAAAAGCAACAAAGAGATTGGGACTGTATGGGAGAAGCAGTGTAATTAACTAAAAATTCTTACAGTCACCACCCTAAATCTTGGATCACGACAATTAGCAGAAACAAGAGAAATTTTCCAAGGCTAAAGGAAGAAATTATTTATTCTGGTGACTGTCAGTGTTGTTCTTGTAAAATCTGCAACACACAATAGATTTCAGAAGAAGCCTTTGAACAGAATCAGCAACATCATAGCTGATATGACTCAACAGACATTTATAATTGTGTCGTACAGACAAACTCTTGGCAAATGCACAAAAAAGGAAGTCAGCGAAACAAGAGTGAAACAATAAAGCAGACATTTTTTTCTAAATTTGGCTCAAATGTGCTGAAAGCAGTAGCATTTGCCAATGCAGGCAGTTGGCAGTTTAAAAAAAAGAAAAAAAAGAAAAAAAAAGAAAGAAAAAGAAAAAGACACTCAAGAATTTTAATCCTTTATAGGAGAAACAGGCAGTTCAAATATTAGAGCAGTGATAAAAATATGATTTAGGTTTCAATCTGTAGTTGATGAGAGGAAAAATATAATAATAATAATAAAAAAAAAAAAAAAAAAAAAAATCAAATATTTAAAAATAACTGAATCCAAATGGAGAATCCAGGACTGTTTTTTCTTTTGGAAAAAAATTATCTGATGTGAATCGGAGAACACAGCCATAAAAGGCTGGATGTCTATATAATAAAAAGATCATTATATAATGTCTGACAAAGTTTCTTGGCTAATAAATGCTGCAAAATGGTATGACATAACCACCACTGGCACAACATTTAATAAAAAAAATAAATTTAAATAGTTTATGAAATACAGTGCTGCAAAAAAAAAAAAAACAACAGTACACTGACCCTTGAGGCTTTCTGACCAGATTAGCAGACCTGAGCTAGCACACAACAAATATGACAATCAAAAGTGCTAAATGTTGTCAATAATAGACTTAAAACTAGACAAGGGTTGACAACTTGTGATTAATGTAAATCATTATTCTGCACCATTTGTCAGTTAAATAAAATTCAAATAAAGCTATTCTTTGTGGGTAAAATTGAAAGAATGACTAATTCAAAACTATCTGATCAAGAAAGCTTTCAAGGTTAGAGAGGGAGAGAGAGAAAGCGCTTTAACTTATTCTGCTAACTCTTCCAGTTTTTCTGACATATTGTTTTAATAGTAGTGAGACATGTTTTAATAGCTAAAGAATAAATTGGCCCAGTAATATATTTAGAGAAAGAAGGAAAAAAAAAAAAAAAAAAAAAATCACACTTGAAGCTTTTACTTATATTCAATTCATACTTTATTCTTATGTATTGTTTTCTCCTAGTTTTGATAAAGAACAAGTCCCTTCATTTCATACATAAGTCCTAATAGTAATTCACTTAAATATGAGAAACTTACATAGAAAAATGGTAATTTTCTCTGGAAGAAGTAGTTAATCTTTTATGATACATGAAACAAATGAATAAACAAAATTAGTGCTATACATGTTTTTTTTTTCTTCTTCAATTAACAGATGCAGCAATTCTTTTGTCGTTTCAGACAAAGAATTAAAAAGAATTTATATTATTTTAAAATACCTTTTGATTTGGTGATGTTCATAGGAATTAATATAAAGTGCCAAGCTAGATTTCCTAAAGCATCTTTTGGAAATCGAGACAGTATCTGGCTTTTAAAAATGATAATGGCAACCTGTTACATATACATTGAGACATTTTTCCCGCAATTTACAATATAGTGACAGTAAATACATATTGGATCAACATGTTTAGAACAGGTGAACAGAAATGCTATGACGTACAAGTTATTGGACAGAATGGATAATAGTCTTGTTTGCATCTAGAATGGTAAAAAAGGATGACATAAAACAGACCTTAGCCTCTGGATCGTTCTTCTTGCTTAGATCACCAAGTTCTTTCTCTGTTAGTTGGAAGAGGTTTTCTGAAAAAAAGAAAGAAAAAACAAAGTATACTTATATGAAAGTATGCCACAAGATAACAGTTTTCCATGTGGTAGGTAGCCTCCATATTATATAGAAAGGTTAATATAATTATTTGTATACAATACAAAAGGGAAATATTAATGTTTGAAAAATTTATTTATAGATGAAGCTGAATGTAAACCAAAATCAATGGGGAAAATTAAAAACAGACAATATTCCTATTGGCTAAGAATCTATAGAAATTGAAATTATTTTCCTATAATTATTTTATCGATTATTAAATTTCTAAAACATTTTCTTTAATATTTTAAAAATAAATCTCAGAAGAAATAATTTTGTATTAAAGAAAATAAAAAATCATGCCCTTGTATAAAATAAAGTATAATTTTTTTTTTCTTTGCTAAATTGATTTTTCTTTGTTGAATTTAGGATTGATGACAAAAAGGAAACTATTTTCATGAGTTAAGTTTGATACGTTGGCTTAAAAAAAGTCATTTTCTTGTCCCAATACTATATCTTAATTTTAGTACAAGAGATTTCATTTTAATTTTCCTATATGAGGCAAGGATATCATAGGTATTATTTATTACTGGTATGTCATTTGGTACGGAATCTATTTTACAACTTAGTCTCAGGTGACCCACATAAATGCATGGTACAGCTCTGTGTATGTAATAACCCCCCCCCCCCCCAAATGTGGTTCTGGTGTACCATGATCTCATAAGCAATCAATCATAGCATCCCACTTCCAATGATCCTCATAGAAAAGAGATTGGAACACAACCCACCAGTGGGTTGTGTAGAAGCCAACATGTTAAAGAGATTTTCATACCAATATGAACAATTTGAAAACTTCTTGTTTTGTTTTTTCAAAGTTTACAGGTGCAAAAAGTGGTATTAAATAAAACAAAAATCAAATAGTCATGAGAAGTAATTTTCATCCTTTTTTTTTTTTTCCTTCTATCAATGAAGTCATTAAAACAACCTTTGTCATTTAAGGAGTTAAATCAAAAAAATAAAGATTTCATGATTGTGTCTACTTGCAATAGAGCCGACTGTAATTTTTTTTTTTATCATACACAGCTTTAAAATTGTTATTTTAAAATTTCAGAGTGGACATAAGTATTAAAATAGATTTTGAAATCCATATTAGTGGTGTAATTTTCCAATGTGCACCTTAAAGATTTATATTAGTTTTGATCTTTGATAAATAGCAGTGGAAAATCTCATACTAAAAAAAAAAAAAAAAAAAAAAAAAAAAGAAAATTATTTTCTTCATTGCAGTTAGGTTACTTAGGTTAGGACTATTTCTGATCAAATTATATTCACATGACCGTTACTTTTGAATTTTTTTTACTTTTCAAGAAAAATTTTTTATTGCAGTACATTTTTGCTCGATTGATTCCTTTGCTGGTTATTTAAAACTAGAAAATATTTTTAAATTTGAGAAATTTTTGAGATAATTAAGTGACAAAATTCTAATTAACTTATAGCTGGGGGGGAGATGATTCATACCTTTCCCAAAAATATTTGTATACAAGTGAATATAGTGAAACCAACTGGAATTGGAACTTGGCTCTCTGATTAACAATTGGGTCATTATCCATTACACCACCTGCACATCCTAGCTTACAATACCTGATATTCAGAAGTAGTCACTAGATACCATTGCAATATCAGATTCTATGTGCATAACATTTAGTCTAATGATGAAAAAAAAAAAAATTTATTTATTTTTTGAGATTAACAGTATATATAGAGAAACAATTTGGCCCCCCAGAGAGAGAGAGAGAGAGAGAGAGAAAAAAAAAAAAAAGAGTCACAACATATGTATCAATTAAAATCAATGCAGATATTCTCTGAGAAACACTATGTATTTAGTATCATTTTCTACTTACTCTGCCAGTAAAATTTTATCTGTTTTTCTTAGTTGTTGTTTTCAAGTCACTGAAATATCTTTGCTATATTTATCTTTATAAACTTATTGAACTTGGCACATATAATTCTTCTTTGACTGGGTCAGTTGAACTGGTTTCTTCTCATTAATTTTTCTATTTCTACTAACTAAATTTTTTTAATAATTTTATCCAAAGCAAGGCAATAATGCCACTAGGACGCAATGGTTTACTGGGAGCAAAAGAAAATGAGAAGACTTTAGTGAGGAGAACGGACAGTAAAAGAACAGGTTTCAGGAAGATAGAAGATGGCGATTGGTGTTGTATTTAAATTTTTGGTGATTGTAGATAGCAGGGAAGCAAGAAAATTGAAGGCAGTTCCACAGGTGAGAAAAGAAACTATTAGAATAGAACATACAGTTGCATCTATCTAGTACAACAGTAAAATGGTGAGACCTGGTTGCCAATGTAGTAGTACGCTTAAATTCATGCAGTCAAGGCACCAAAGGGGGAAAGCTCATCAGAACAATTACCATGAAAATATTTGTAGAAAAGACAGAGGGAAGACACATCACAATGGTGAAAATGTGATTGAAGCTGAGATGCCAGGACAGGATTTATTATATCACAGACTCTTCTTTGAATTTTGTTAAAAATCTTGAGATATAGAGAAGAAGCACCAGACCAGGTATAGAAGCAATATTCATGTATGGATGATGGTAGATTTATAAATGTGTAAGATGGGTTCTGACAAGCAAAATTGTCTAGTACGACACACTGATTTGGTTTGTTTTGTGGCATATCAACCTCAATGGGTTATTTAATGCCAACAAGATTTTTATTGCTGGTAATATTTTTTTTCCTTCAAAAATCTATTTCTGGTAATATTTTTTCTTCAAAAATGTATCACTTGTAATAAAAAATAGATAAAAAAAAAATGTATAGCTGGTAATAATTTTTTTTTTAAAAAACTTATTGTTGGTAATAACTATTTTTTTTTTTTTTTTTACACAAAGTATTTCTGGTATTAAAACCTATTTTTACACTTTCATAGTGTTTTGACCCCAGTTTGAGGGTTAACTATTTGCCCATAGCTTGGACTAACAGGTGCTACCACCCCGGGTCAGGGTGGACCTGGGAACACCAGCAATTCAGAGGTGGTTCCACGCTCCTCAAAACATCCTGATCAGAGGCCTTGCTGTTGAATGTAGATTATTATCTTACACAGGATGCAGATGTAGCTTATCGTCATATCCAGGACAGATGACACACTGAGCCAACTTTTCTAGCAAATCATTCAATATAATCACTCCACTTTATGTCAGTGGAAAACAGGAGTGCAAGAAGGTGCAAAGAATTGCTCTCCTGGAGGTTAGCATCAGCCATGCTGATGGCAGGCAGAAAAGATTAAATGTAAGCAGTTTTGTTTTGGAGGTGTTAAAATTTACAAGATATTCCTTTGTTCCAGTTAACCACTGATTAGATGTCCTTTTTGAGAGCATTTGCCAGTTTTACTTTGTTCGACTTGCTATTAAGACAAGAGTAAATAGTTCTGCCAACAGCATAAATACCTACTTGAGAACTGATGACATCAGAAAGGTCATTGATGAAGATAAGAAACAATGTAAGTCCAAGGATAGAGAACCTCCCCTCAGCCCACATCAATGTGAAATTTATCCTTTCAAACATTCATCAGGATTCATTTTGTCTTTATTTTTATCTTTTATTTTTTATATAAATGTAAGAAGCAGTTAATATTCATTTATATATCTTTATTTTATATCCTTGCCAGAATAAAAGATGACTTCAATACTGTTATCCTGTTTTAGGACAAATTGAAAAGACCAAAATCAATTGAGTTAAGACAGAAATAAAGAAATCCTGAGAATAGTGCTGAGTACACACACAAAGATTGGTTGTTGGAAAAGCATATTTAAAAGCAAAAGAAACTTCTGGACAGGACATATTTCACATCTGATGTATATGGAGTACTTTACATTTCACCTGCTTGTCTATGCCTATTGTAGTTTCTTTTTTGTTAACAGCTACCATTGCTACATTTTTAAGCTGGCAATTATAGCAGGTCCTTTTCAGAGTTTTAGTACAATATTAATGTTTCTTTGGCAAACTTGAACCTTTGTGCCCCCCCTCCCCCAAAAAAGGGCATGTCAAAAGGAAAGTTTTTGCTTTGACATTGCTATTATTTTAACTACTTTCCATCTTTGGCAATGTTTATTGTCTTAATAAGTATTGTTGTTAATTAAATGTTAACAGATTTAAAAGGATACAGAAAATTAACTTGTCAAGTTTAAGATATAACTGAAGGGAAATAGAGGAAAATAAAAAAGTACAATAAAAAGAATTCTGTTTTTAATTTAATTTTTTTTTTGCTAAGTTGGACCTTTGTACCCCAGCCCTCCAAAAGTGTCAAGAGGACAGTTTTTCCATTGACGCTACTATTATTTATTTATGTGCCATCCTTGGCAATATTTGTTTTTTTAAAAAGCAATGAATAGAATTGTAATAAAACTTAAAACATCATTAAAACCTCATTAGCAATGGTAACTACAGCAAAGTGAAAAAGGATCCTACTATGAAAACGGAATGCAAACTGTCACAGATCCTAATCAAGAACAAGGATCACTTCGCACCCAAGACATATAGGCAGTTATCGCAGCGTTACACCAAGCTACCTCACATATATGGTCTCCCTAAGATTCACAAAGATGGTATTCCACTCAGGCCGATTTTTAGTTGCCAAGGCTCTGTGTGCCACCCTCTGAATCGCTTCCTTGTGGATATAATTGACCCATTGATCAGAAAGTCTCCTTCATATGTCCGAAACTTCACCCACTTCGTGGAAATAATCAAAGATGCTCCCATCCTATCCAACCAGGGTGAGCTTGGACGTGGTGAGTCTGTTCACCAAGGTACCCATGGAGGAGGCACTCTCAGTAGTCAGAGACAGATTGACCTCTGACTCTTCCCTAAAGGAGCGGACCAGTATTCCAATAGATAATCGGATAGATAGCAGCAGCCCCCAAAAACTGGGATAGGCGGGTACAAGAGGAGGAGGACAACAACACTCAGAAAACAGTCTGCCT